ATGGTTCAAGAGAGAGGGAGAGAGAGAGAGAGAGAGAAACAAATTCATAATAGGAATATTAATGTAGGAGAACAGCGGAAAAGATAGAGAGAGAGAGAGCGAGAGCGAGAGCGAGAGCGAGAGCGAGAGCGAGGGGGAGGGGGTTGAAGTTGCTCGCACTCCAGGTCGCTCCGGAAATTTAAACACAGGAACTTGTAGGAGCGCCTTGAGGACTTGGGGAGAACGAGGTCCTTGAGGGGTTTGTACAAGCATCGTCCTCACTGGGCTTACGAGTAGCATCCTGTAGAGGAGACCGACCAAGTCTGAAATCAGGCATGGCATTGTTGCTGGAACATTTGCCAGGGGCGCAGTCCCTCGACAGCTACTGATACCAAGAGCTGCTCCGGGCCAGCGACAGCACAGGTGGCGAAGTGAGCCACTCTGGCGCCAGAGGGCTCTGACCTCTGAGCGAGTCTGACAAGAGTGGCCTCCGTCCCTTGGCGTTTGCAACCCTGATGCTGAATCCTCCCTGCTTGGGATCCTCTCTTTTCAAATTTTCTCTTGGCTCCCTTGCAGGTTCGCCAGGATGTGGACCCCAGAGAAGGCCACCGGCATCCTCAGACGGCATCTTCAGAACTCGCCTCAACGACCCTCCGCGCCAAACTGCCAAGCGTCAGGATGCGCAGGCACTGTGGGAACGAAAAGAGCGTCGGCCTCGAATTGGCCAGAGGGAACATGGATGAGCATGGCATCGGGAATTTTTCCAAGGCAGGGCCCAGTCAGTTCAAGTGGATGGACTGCACGAAGAAAAAGTGCTGCTAGAAAGGAAAAGACAGCACTGGCGGCCCTTGGCACCCTAAGGAAGTGGCAGGAGGGCGCAGTAGTAAACCTTGGCCTTCCGGCTTGGCTGCAAGAGACAAGGGCGGCACGAAGGAGGCCTAAGGCAGGAGGGTCTCTTCGTTGCCTCTTGGATCGAGCCACCGGTGTCGAAGACCCAATCCACCCAAAGCCTCAACTCAAAGACACTCTTGGCCCCTGAAGAAAGAGAGGGAACATACGGGCCGAGGCATGCCCAGCAACGTAGCGAGGCCCATGACCTGCAGGCGACTGCACTTCTCTTCTCATCTTCGTCGTCTCCTGCATCTTAAAGTCTCGGGCACGTGCCGACCAGGGCGCCGAAGGCCCCAAAGGCGATGTCATGGCTTGGAAGCGTGGGTCAGCGTCTCTAGTTCAAGCTTCGCAGGCTTTCGCATGCAATACTGTCGCACAAAAGGCTGTATAAGGAAAGCTCAATCCTACTCAATCTACAGGAATTGTCAACATGACTGCGGCTGTGTGTGTGCGTGTGTTTTTGTATGTATGTATGTATGTATGTATGTATGTATGTATGTATGTATGTATGTGTGTATGTATGTATTTATGTATGTATGCATGTATATGAGATATATATATATATATATGTTTATTTATCTATTTATATGTAGCTGGAGAGTTTGTTCCTTAAGCGCGAATCGGCTTTGGTGCGGCTTGGCTCGGCTTGGCCATAGTTTCTCGTGCTTTTGCTATTTCCAGATGCGCGCGGCTTTGGTGCGGCTTGGTGTGGCTTGGTGTGGCTTGGTTGGCTTGGACTGGCGGTTTTTTTTTCTTCTAGGTGGGCTTTCTTTTTTTTAGGTGCGGTCCGGCTTTGGTGCGCCTTGGTTTGACTATCTTGTTGCGTTTATTTTCTTACGTGCGGCTCATGTTTTTTGTTGCGGTTGAGTTGGGTGTGGACACCGCATCAACACACACACACACACACACACACACATATATATATATATATATATGTGTGGCTGATTCTTTTAAGTCTCCTTTAACCACTCTCCTCTATAAGGTCCAGATCTGGCTAGATGGGTGACGTTTCTTCGCTGAATGTCGCGTACTCTTAGCTGAACAAGCCTGCGCTGCTTGTCTGCTGCTGAAAACTGGGTCGTTGAGGGCTTCTGGTATCTGACTACACTTGCGTGCGTCTGCGCGGGCATTGTACCGAGGTGCAGTTGGAAAAAGGCATCTAACGGGTAGTGGTCAGAAAGCAGGCAAAGATCAGATCGTCTTTGTACATTCCTGCAACAATGTTTGTAACAATCCTACATTAACCAGAAATCAGTTGGGCATGTTTCTCTGCCGAACGAATCTCTCTAATGTGGGGATACTTCTCGATATGTAGCTTGCTTAAACAGGGGCTCATCATCTTATAAAACTGTGTGATTAAAACTACGAAGGAGTTCGATCGGCAGAAATCCATGAACAGGTGGCGAGTCTCACGGGTCTTTTCATCTACTTGTTCAAGGTAGTCCCTGCCTCTAACAGAACATGTTCGCCCCCAGAGCGTCCGTTTCCGTTGGATATCGCAGACCGATGGTGCAGTCTTCAACAAAAGCTCACTAGAACCCTCTGCGTATCGTTGACGTTTTTAACACAAATTTTCACAGGATTAGTCCCTAATTTCTTGTATGCAAGGCTGCCACCTTTTGAGCACTACAATCCCTACACCAACGTACTCTCGATCTTTTTGCCATGCGGGACATCCGTACCGACACAGAAACGGTGGTCACCACGTGTTTCACGACTGCTACAATTAACATTCAGGCGCTTCACAGACAACATGACATCACACTTCTCCCTCTTCATGGTTTCAGAAATTTACGGCTTCTTCGTAATCCTGCTGTCCACATTCAAACCTCGTACATTCGATCAGCGTTGCGAACTTCATTGGAAACCTGTACGGTACTTGGAAACCTCTGGCTTCGTGAGATTTGGGAGTATCCTGGCAGACAAGGAAAAACACCAGTCTAACCAGTCGCCGAGGGGGCTTCTTCCTTGCAGCCAAGCTTCTTTGAATTTTCCGGGCCTTCAGACGTTTCAAATATATGACACTTCTATACGATCGCCAACAATTTTCTCGTACAAGCACGGGGACAAATGGTTTTTTACTGAAGTGCATATCATTAAATGTAGCTTTTCATTCTCTGAATGCCTTCCAACCCTTTCAGGCCTTTTCGTTCTTCAATGTAGGCTGAAGGTCCCGGCATGACACCGGAAAACCGCTGGACGCTTTATTGGCTGATCCTGTTTCGAATGACTGCGTGTCTTGCAGCTTCCAACCTCTAGCTCCTTCCTTCTTTTGCATTTAGTTCCTTCACTAATTCCTTCCTCTGGTCTTTGCTTCTTGCCTTGTGTCGCTCAGGAGATGGTCAATCTCCGTTTTGCTTTGCCCTCTGCAGACGACTCGCTGATGTGGGCAGGTATGCCCAGCTTCGAACGTGAAGAAGTTGCTGTCCAGTGTCGTTTTTCTTGCTGGCTTGGGCCAACCCCTTAGGGGTGGAAAGGTGGTAATGAGGTGAAACGCAGGAGCGCATCACACCCTTGACGAGGAGACCCGGCTGCATGCCGTGCTGTACCTCGAATCCGAATCCGACTCCACAAACGGCCTTGTTGTTGCCTCTTCCCCTTGCCCCTTGGTGTCGGGCAACACGGCCTTGCGAGCAACCTCCAACGGCGAGGCCGGTCCCTTCCAAAGCACTTTTCGCCGCTCTCCGCTCCTGTGCGCATGAGGCATGCTGTGCACGGAGAGCCGAGAGCTGGGAGCCGCCTGGTGGCGCTTGCAGACTCCTCCACGCGCAGAGTTCCCCCAGAGCACACTGCAGAAAGCCGGACGCAACGCCTCCAGGACCGGTGGAATGCCTGCCACTGCAGCAAGGACCTGCGATCGCGAAACTCCAAATCCCAAACACCGCTGAACGTCGGCGGCGCCCTGGGCTCCTCACGCTTTCGCTGCTGCTCTTCTGCAGCAGGCGCCTCGCGTTGGAAATCCAGCGGCGTGGCACGGAAGCGGCAACCCCAAGGAAAATGTCCTTGTCTTGGGATCGGCTGGCCCGCTTCCATCTCCGTGCATCAGCAGTAGCATCATCGGAGAAGTGCGGAATCCTCGGGCGAGGCTCCGCGTGGCCGGCGTCCTTGGCAAGTGGGAACGGCTGCGAGAGCGGGAGAAAGAGAGATGCCAACAGGGCTATGCCTAAGACTTTACTCGAGATGTGAAGGTTGCCCACGCCCAAGTCTTCTTTGACTGGGATTGTTGGACGTGCCAACCAGCACAGATGTAGAAGGACCCACGGCGCGAAACAACCCAGAAAATTCACGACAGCCTCCACAGTCCCTTGCTTTCTATCATGTTCAAAGACGTTTGCGCCGCACCACAGCTTCCTTCTCGCCACGACAACCGACAGAACACGAGGAGGAAATAACACAAAAACCAATACCAAGAATACTACAAGCGGCATAGCTTCCTTCCGATCACCTGCATTGCTGAAGATCCAACAGTCCCCAGATGCAAACAATCAACAAAATCGTCCTCATGAGAATCGCCCTTGTGGCCTCCCCCACATCAAGGAATTCTCAGGTGTTGGGGCAAGCAGGTGTTCGTGCTTGGGAGGAAAGTTTTGGATGTGTCATGGCAACTTGGGCGTAGCTCGGGAGCAGTTCGGGAGTGGTTTGGGAGAGGGAAACTCGGGAGTGGCTCGGGGAAATCTCGGAAGATGATAGGTCTGACGCAGGAAAAGGCAAAACGCGGTAGAGGCACAGAGAGAAAGGGGATGTTCGGGAGAGGCTTGAGTCGGGAAAGGCTCGGGAAAGACGCTAGCGAGGCTCGGTGGTTGGGAGAATCAAGAACGCTCGGAAAGGCTGGGCAAGGCTCAGGAAAGGCTCGGGAGAGGCTGGGGAGAGGCTGGGGTTGACCCATCTGCTCCCAACAACACACAACGTTTTGACTCCCAAACTCTTGTGTCCGAACCTGATGATGAGAACAGATGACAACTGCTAGGATCACATCCTTTTTGGAACACGCGAACATGACAAATTGAAGAGCAACCACGTGCGAAAAACAAAGGTCTGCCGTTTTGGCTGTAGTTCGAGCTAGTTCGAGCATCCCACGTCCCGTGGGCGAGTGCGTTCAGCCTTCGCGCATGAAACATGTCACCGGAAGTCACGTGGCCTAAAAGTTGTTGAGCTTTTGCTTGTCTGTATCATCTTCAGCTCTGGTTTTTCATCAGGATACTATGGTAACATTCCCTATCGACTGAAGACTTCTTCTAAGGCTTTAAGACTAATTACAAGAATTCGCTGCCTCTTGTCCTCTTCCCAGCTGTGAAGTGAGGGTCAAACTCCACATCTTGCCCCTTGCAAAGAACGCCATAACATGCCCTTTTTTGCGCTTGGGCGACGCCTTGGTCATAGCCTCAGCTAGCTGGGCCCGTTGACAGTGCGCGAAGTTGAGTCCTGAGCTTCATTTCCTGCACGGTCACGGTAAGCTCGAAGTCAGCCAGGGACCCCAGCCCATGCAAAGCCGAGCATGTTAGATCGCGGCACCATTGCTGCAGCGTGCTTTTCCACGCCACAAGAGAGAGAGAGAGAGAGAGAGAGAGAGAGAGAGAGCGGCCTCGCGTCCAAGTTTGGCCCGAGACAGGCCATGTAGCCGTTGACTTCTACGGCCGGTTGCCTTGTGAAGCCGACCAGACGACGGTGGCTACATGTTGCCACCATTTGCCACCTCGTGCCCACTGCAAGGAGGGACAGCTGCTACCAGACGCAGGTAGCCGCTGTCGGTTGAGGGTTTTTGTCCAAAACAATTGATCAAGTCATTCACCGAGGACTTGGTTGTCAAGTTCTCGGATTTTGTCATAGTTCACAGTGGTATCGTATCCTTGTCAGCGCCTTCCATCGCCAAGACCAGGCTTTCGGGGCGAGAATGCAAATATGACGGGCCAGCGTTTGCGGGCTTGAGCACCCGCGCGCCGTCGTCGTTGGGGTCCGCCCCAAACATCACAGCCAACTCAGCAGGGCTGATATGAGCATTTTCTCGTCCTCAAGGGCCGCGCACCGAGCCAACTTCAATGCTCTCCCAAAGCGAAACAGCTTTGGCGGAACAACTCAGCAACACATGTCTTGCGGATGGGGAGATAGAGTTGGTGCTGCAGCTTCGACTGGTGAGGTTCAAGACTGCCGACCGTTTCGCAATCGATCATCACATACTGTAGTCAGGCGCAGGCCAGAAAGCCGCCCACCCCGCGGTAAAAGTGGCCAATGCCAAAGACGGCAGCCAGCCCTTGTGGCGGGTCCAGGTTCTGCCACTTTTCCAGTGCGAACGAGTCCGGGATCGGGAGCGTCTGGCTGCCCCTGAACTGGGCGGCCCCCGAGTAGGCCCGAAGGCCGGCATTCGTCAGGGTCTTCTTGACTTGCCAGCCCGTCCCAGTCGCTAGGAACATCGTCTCTGGCCACCCCGACCGCCAGCTCTCCTTCACCACGGCGATCCAACTCGTGACCAGGAACAGGCATCACCAGGCACTACAGCACTCAAGGTCTTCCTGTCTACCTGGTTGGCTCTACGAAAGCTCGAGCATCCCACGCCCCTGCCAGCGAGTATGTTCAAGCTCTGCACATGCAAAGACATGCAACATGTCATCGGAAGTCACACGGAGTGGGAGACGAGGGAGAGGCGACATCGAGAGACCTGTGTGTCAACTCCATTGCCCTTCATCCCCTTGGTCCCCTTGGTCCCCTTGGTCCCTGGGCAGGCCGTGCTTCATCTGGTTGATATGCAGCTTTCTCCAGAGGCGGACGGCCTCGCCACTCCCAAACCGAAATTCCGTATCTTCGTGTTCTCCGAGGCCGAGGCCCTGCCTCGGAGGAGCCGTCCAAGGTCCCGAAGTTGGCCGCGACCTGGGCCGGGGCTGCGGCGGCACTTGCGGCGCTTGCGCTCCGGTTGGAGTTTTTTGGGCTGATGGCACAGTCCGGGTCGAAGAGGCACATCACGGCAACCTGAAGAACTCTCGAAGGATGGCCCTGGCCCGGACTGACCTGAAAACCTCTCGACTATCAGGAGCCGACATTGATGTGGTCCAGGAGCTGCGTCGTTGCATCTCAGCGGAGCCCCCAGCTACGGATGCGTAGTGATATGTTGGCATCAGAGCCTTCTCCGTAGTCGGGATCGCGCAGCAACTTGTGGTACTGCAGGAGAAGTGCCTGGCTCACGGCCCGGGCCCGAACTTACGAACGCTTTTCAGGTCCTTCTCGATGCCCCATTTGAGGAAGAGGAGGAAGACCTGGCAGTCCAAGGCGCAGTTGGATTCTCCAAACATCCTGAGCAATCTTGCCGCGACTTGCAGCGTGAGATGTGGGTTCGACACAGCCGCCCCACGGCAACAATGACTCCTTCGTGTTTCAAGCTGCTGCCCTTATATAACCGGGCACAAGAGCACTGAACCCGGTGATTTAGAACGAAGCACACCTAGCGCCCAGTTATACAGGTCAAGCCTTGGGAGCATGACAAGAGGAGAAGCCCCTGTTGTCGATGGTTGGACATGAGACTTGGACGGACCAACATGTTTTGACGAGTCTGAAGAAGTGTCACGCGGATCCAAAATCTGCAGAAGCAGCACCAGGCTTATTCCTGTTGTTGAGACATCGCATCTGCTCCCAGAAGCTTCTGCCCGAGCCACTGGTACAAAGAACTCCCTGGCGTGAGCATCGGCTTTGCCTCACGACAAGTCCAGAGTCTCGCATGAGACTCAAGAGCAGCAGGCAGAGTGAGATCTCGGCTGAGCTTATTCTTGGCAAGCTCATCCAGCTTGGACCAAGCTTCCTGCAGGCGAAGGCTCACGCAAGTGCAGGAAGGAAGAAAGTGTTTCGAATGTGGGCAGAGATCAAGCGTCGCCGAACCGCACGTCACCTGCTGCATGTCAAGCGCCTATGGTATGACACACCAAAGCCAAACTCACGGCCCAGAAGGAGAACCACCAGCAATCCGGAATGCTGAATCATGACATGGGACAGAACAAGCAAATCCTGTATGGTCAGCACCAGGCTTTGACGCGTGGAATCCGGCAGTGGGAACCTCGGCCAGAGCAGAGAAATGCAGAAAGCACGTCACTTCACCCTCCATGTGCGCCCAGGGCTCTGGCGAATGGAGGTGTGCAAAGGCGTTCCAGTACAGCAAGTGCGCACAAAGGCCGATCCTTTTTTCAATTATCCTTAAATTCAGCTCCGTCTTAAAATCTGCCGCGCCGGGGAGAGCACAGACGCGTGAGGGAGAAGAGCACTTTGCGCACGCCATCGAAGAAGAGCCTCAGGTCAGGAGGTGCAGAATGAGAGAGAATGAGAAACAAGGGAAAAACGGAGGCAAGCAGGATTGTCACTGGCAGAACTTGGTATCCCGACGGGTCACGGCCTCGGTGCATTTTTGCAGCGCTCTTGCGGACACCCCTTCACGACTTTTGGGCATGGGGCGTGTCGAAAGCAACTCCAGCGGAAAGTCGTTCCTTAAAGACTCGCCACTCTCGTTGGGCAGCGTCTCTCGCAAGGGTTGTTATATGTGTTCGTCGCTGGTTCATCGAGGTGTCAAGGCTGCTGGCGGCTTTCAGCCGCTACTTTGCCTGCGGCTTCGCTTCTGAGGCAAACGCTCGGCATATTCGTCCACCTCCACCTGCAGCTGTTCCAGCGACACCTGCGGAAGATGGCGTTGCGCTTCCACCCCACAAGCGACCAACCGCTGACCACCAAGCCTGGGAACGAAAGAAATGCGGTGTAAACATGTGTAAACGCTAGGACTCACTTGTATACAGACGGTCACCTGCAGCGGCTTCTGCACCTCTGCCACGAGCTCAGCAGGCACCTCCGTCCAATCTCACACAAAAAACAAAGAGGGGAGCGATGCAGTGCGCGTGCAAAGGCTGTGTGACTGTGCCTGGATCTGGGACAGGAGGCCTGGCGACCTCAACAACGAACACGAGAGGAATGCTTGCTGCGACTTGAAGATTTCCAGCTCATCCGAGGAACTGCCAAGCGGTGGTGCCCCTGGCGCCTTTGACGCACGCTGCAACGAGAGTACTGAGAGCGAGAGCCAGCGCCTCGACTGCAGGCGAAGGGAAGGATAAACTTCCTGCGAAAGCTGCGAAAGCTGCGGAAGGGGCTCTGCTTGGAACTTGGCTAAGCCTGAAGTGTCCTCTTCAGCTGCTCCAGCTCCTTGAAACCCTCGTTGCCCCACTGTCGCAGCACCTTTCGCACTCAGAGAAAAAAGCGAACGCCATCGCCCGTAAAGTGCCAGAAAGGCCTCCGGCCGGTGCACCGGGCCTGAGTCCCATCTCGCTGTCTGCACTCGGTGGGCCGTGACCCCGCCTTCCTCGCCACGGGCGTGACTCTGCATGGTCTCCAGCTCCTGCAGAGCTTGCCAACTGCCCTATGCCGCCGCCTTCCCGGTCCCGGTTGCTTCAGTCTGCGTCCTGTGTGAAGTCCGGGTCTGCACCACGCGAGTTCTCTTGGTCTCTGAGACTCCTCCAGCTTGGCGCAGGCGACTGATGTTTTTTCATGAGCCCTCGATGCTGTGCAGCTCAAGCGCATTGCGGAAAAGGCGAGCAAGAAGCGTTCCTGCTGCTAGACAGAGCACGCAGAGCCCAGAGCACCCAAATGATCCAAATGGACAGATCACGAAGCCTGCCTCTTGGGTGTACTTCTTCTGGGCCAAGAAGCTCCCAGTCCCCTGCGCTCGGGACGCTTTGCATATCAAATATCTGCCTGTCCGTGGCGCCGCATGACCTTCTTGGCTTTTTCGTAGAGGCCCGAGGTGTCCGGCGGCACCGCAGTGATCAGCGGATCTGAGGACTCCTGCAGCGCAGAACTGAGATCACACGAGTTTCCTTTACTGAGCCGGGCCCGAACCTGCCCGGGGAGGCCCCCTGCCTTTCACGGACACGGACACGGACGTATAGCCACTGAAAAGCCCATGGGAATGGCCTCCATCAGCTCCGAAGCCCGGCTCCGCTCCCAGTACGCACCTCGCGCGGCCGCATCGTCCCGAGCCCCAAGGGCCCCAAAAATTTCGAATGGGCCCCGGCCCAGGCCTCCTTTGCGAACCGAAGCCATGCTTGGGGAGGTCTCAAACCTTGCGGGGAAATTATGGCGCGCAGGCGACCCTCAAAAGCTTTACCATCTTGATTCAGCGAGCAGCGCTACGCGTTCGATCCAACTCCTCGAGCACCTTCCTCGCCCCTCCTGCTTGCCATCTGCCGCCGAAGGCCCGGTGTCGCGGACCCAGCATCGGGCAAGCTGCAGAAAACTAACAACGGCTGTGAAAGTCTTTCCTTAACAACGAACAACAGCTTGAAGGCTCGAAAACTCCATTCCATGCCTGAATCCAAACACCTGCAGCCTGCAGCAGGCAACGGATCCACAAAGACGAAGTGCAGGATCCGATTCGAGTCAGGGGTCACGGAGTCACGGTCACCTTCGTCAGCTTCCTTTGCTTTTCCTCTGCCCTCTCTCAGCCCACCGAGTCGGCCCCTTCGGGGCAGAATCGGAGACAAGTGGCAGGCCCGGGCGCGTAAGCCGCACTGTGGTAAATGCAGCGCGCCCGCTGACTCTCACAAATTTTCCGACGTGCAAACTGGCATCAATGAACTCTCTCAGCTGCAGCTGGCTTCGTTACGTCTGGCGCACGCCGACTTCGACGACCCGGCCAGCCCCAAAAGCCCGCAAGGGGTTGAGCCTGTGCTTTGCTCTCGCATGCCCTGCCCTCGCCTTGCCATGAACGGCTCAAAGCGTGCCTTGCCAGGGCCGTGCTGCTGTCGGTGCGCCTGCCATGGGCAAGGTGGTTTCAGACTCCTCAGACGCCGCACGCTGCTCAGGCTACCCTCGCCTGTGGGAGTTCTCGAAGCGCACCCGCAAGTCCTCGCAAGCGCAATCATGTCTCTCGTCACTGCACGACACTCTGCTCACGGCTGTGACAGCCTGTCGACTGCAAGCACAGGATTCGGTCTGGAGTCGGTCTTAGTCTGGTGCGAGTGTCATGTTTCTCTTGTTGTTTTTTTGGAGGGGGGGCTGACACGCGCGATTTGTGACTTCGCTTTTCCGACATCCGTGGCTTTTCTTGTTCACCTATACGCTTTTCAGCCTCTGGTTAGAGTCTGCGAGTCTGAGTCTGCGGGTAATCTGTATCTTTGTGCGGCACTGGATACTTTGAATTGGTAGCATGGATCTGGGTAACAAGTGTCCGTTGCTGTTGGCTTGACATGTGTATTCTCGTGGCTCTTCGAGGGTATTACCCAGTACAACTGGAGAGGAGGACTACGAAAGCTAAAAAGAAGCAGAGTCGATAAAGTTCGGTCGTGATTGCGTGCATCTCGGCGGTGTGGAAGACGCCAGCATAGATGCATTGCAATGAAGCTTGAAGCTTACCGGATGACGGTACTCTTGTGCATTACACTGCGCACTACAGAGGGTGCACCTTGACCGACCTCCTTGCCCTCCGGAACGTCCCTTCATGAGCCACAACTCGGCAATCTACAAGCAGCTTCGAACTGTCCTGGTGGCGGCATCAGACTTGAAACCTGCTACGTAGACGCAATCGGCCGAAAGACAAAATGCAAGTTGCCACGTTGTTTAAACAGATGGACCTTTCGCAGGCGGCCCCCGTCCCCCCTCTAAACGTCAAAGGACCGTTTGCCACCCCCACTCAACATCTTCTTTTGCGGTGTAAGCTTGGGCTTGCGGCCTTTTAGGGTGAGGGCTTTGCCACCCGATGCGACGTTTAGGTTTAGCACTTGCCAACCAACATGTTTTTGTCTGGCTTCGGGTTTGGTGTAAAAAACCTTTGAAATTTGGGTTTGGTTTGCGACCTTTTCGGGCTTATGGTTTTGGGGTTTGCCACCCAACATCTTCTTTTAAGGTTTAGGGTCTGGCTTACGACGTTTTTGGGTTTCAGAGCTTGAACCGCGGCCGTATTGGGTGAGGGTTTGCCACCTAACATCTTCTTTTAGGGTTTAGGCCATCTGGCTTACAAACGTTTAGGGTTCAGGGTTTGCCACCCAAGATGGTTTTGTTTCTCGGGTTTTGGGTTTGCACCGAACATCTGCGTGCAGGCTGTGCGGAGTTTTTCAGGCTTTGGGTTCGTTTGCGACCTTGTCGGGTCTAGGGCTTGGTTCGCGGCCTTGTTTTAAAGGCTCTCTGCCGACTGCGTACAGCTGAATTCCTTGCCAGGAGGAGCCTCGTGCTGGGACCTCGCACTTAGTTTGTTGACGACCTTTCTCCAAAGAGCTGTGGAAAGACGAAAGCAAACGACACAGATCACCTCGAAAAGTCACAGGGCTCCGCTCTCGCTTGCGCATTCCCCAACGATTGAATGGTTGAAGATGCTTCAAGTTCTGAAAGGCAACCCGGCTCCTCGGTGCGCGCCATTTCCTGGACAGAAACTCTCTGCTCCCCGAAGCCAAGCAGTTCACACGTTGCCGCAGTAGCGCCGCCTGCTTTGCATCCAAGTGGATATTCAGAAGGACCTGTCAACCGCTTCAGCTCGTGGCTGAGCTTCCATGATCGCTCGAAGCTGATATAAGATCACGGCCGGCCAGAAAAGCCTTCTCCCCGGGGCCTGGCTCGAAATCTCTGAAACTGCAGACTGCGGGCACTTTGTCTTTCCTGGCCTGAGGCCAGCAGCCAGCTCCCGGAGACTCCACAGAGAAGGCAGTGCCTCATGAAGCGCTGCCCGTTAGCTCACAGAGTCTGTGCTTGGCCCCAGAACATCCCCACCCGAAGTCACAGGGTCTTCCTTTGCCTCTCCCTCCCCATTTCTTGAGTTTCGCAGGGGACACCTGCCTGCCTGAGGCTGGAATGGGCCAGACCACGAAGTGGCACTAGGTTCCGATTTCGCCAGCCCCCTATCGCAGATACCTGTTGACTGTTCTACGACAGAATCTCCTGCCGTGGCATCACAGTAACCATCGCGACCTCCTATGCTTTTGCCACCGGCACCAGCACCACCGGCCCACCACCCGTCCTCTGCAGAACCGACTGTTCGACTTTCTCTGCGGTCTGGCTCCCTCGCTGTCTCTGCCCTACCCTTCGTCTCTCAATGTCGGCGCACACCACGCCTTGTGGCAGCCCGATCTGTGCGGCTTTGGCCAGTGCCGCTGCACGGATCTGCAAGGCATGGAACGCAGTCCCAGCTTGCAGATCTCAAAAACAAGTGCCTTCCATGAGGACTCGTGAACGATGTACTCCGACTCCAATCCTGCTCAAGCGCACTGCTGGCCCTCCCAAACGAAGAGAGGAACGGATCCGACCTGGGAAGCCCATCGAGACCTCACAGCGAATTGCGGGGCAGAAAACATGGTGTCGTGTGCTTGCAAGAGGCCTTGCTCTCGACCCTGATGCAATTTGCCACGGGGACCTTAGAAAAAGCCAGCAGTGCTTCAGCTGATGCAAAGACAGCTCTGTTAGGACAACGGCGACGAGCTTCTCCTGGGACACGGAGCGAGTCTTCGACATGAGTTCAGGGCGAAGGGCGGCGCCTCCAGCAGATGCTCCGGCATGCCTTGGCGAAGCGAGAACGGCCAAGAGCGAAGAGAAAGCGGCGCTTCTGCGCTTTCTTTAGGCGCCGGCCTAAGTCCAGCATCAGTGCCTGACTCCGAAGGAAACGAAGGCGAGAAGTCAGGTCCCGGGTCAAACAAAAAGTTGGAGCCCTAAGTGACAGTGCAACCCCTCTTCGAAGGAGAGGCACTTCAGCGAGCTCAGGTCAAAAATCGAGGAATCGAAAGAAGCGAGGCAAGAGAAGCATGTGCAGAATCATAACCGCAACACATCGCACGATCCAGCGAACGGCGGAGAGCCAAGGAGGCGTGTTCAGGCGAAACGACACCCCCCAAAACTTCAGGACGGGGCGGCTGCACCAGAAGGGGCTACCAGGGGGCTGCCGGGCTGCAGCTCTGCTCACGTGCGCCCTCTGTGCGGGCGGCGCGGGGGGGCGCGGGCGGCGAGAGCGCGCGTGTGCAACATTACCTCTCATCCCCCCGTCGTTTCTGCGAATCGAGGAGCCACCAAGCGAGATCGGCAATCAGCAATCAAAGTCAATCCCCCTCCTCGCACCTTCATGGCCTCCTCCACGGACTCATCTTTGCGGATTCGACGGCATGGCAGTTTGCCGAGCTTTTGGTCGGCCGCCCTCGGAACTGCAAGCGCTGCAGCTGTGGTTTCTCTTGACGGTGTCTGGGCCTCAGCCACGCATCGGACTGGACCTCGACCAGCGCCCGCACCTGAGCTGAACTGCGAGGGCACAGCTTCTCTGCAAAGCCTCTGCAGCTCCTTTGCTCTGGGACTCCGTGCGCTGTTGTCGATGATGGCCAGCAGCTGCAACCTCACCAACTTCACCTCTGGCTCAGGGCTCTGTCAAAAGACTTGTGAGCCCACACGGCCAGCTGGGAGGGTGGCACGACGATGGATGCGTTTGCCGGGGCCCGTGACGAGCCTGGGAGATATCGAGGCCAGAGATGAGTGGCGAAGAGAGCTTCGGTTGGGTTGCGTGCTCGCTCTGGCAAGTCTGGAGCTCCTCGCCGAGGTCCTCGAGGCTCTTGTGGCCTGCGGACGGAATGCATGCAGGTGTCTGAGCCACGCTGATGACCACGTTGGCAAAGTGTTTTCACGGGGCGTGGCTCGTACAGAACCAAAGCGAGCATGAATACCCATCAAACAGCCTTCCCTTGAAGAGCCTGAAAGTGTGGGGAGCGGGAATTAGACCTTGCGAAAAGAATGCAAAGATATGACTGGAACCGCCTTCATGAGCGTAGAGGCCCAGATTCAGGCCTGCAGACAAGAGACGAGAATCAGTGAGAATGAGTGAGAGAGAGGGCAAAGGATTGGGGAGGGTCGTGGGTTTCGTCGAGGGCCCGGGCCGCTTTGTTGCAAGCGCTCCCGCAGCTCCGAGGGTGCCCAGTTCTTCTCATCGCAGTCCGCCTGCGGCCGAGCTCTCCCCCTCCCTTGTCCGGGCCCAGCCCCAGCCAGGCCTCCAAGGAGGCCGAGCTTAGAACCTGCCGCGGGAAAAAACTCTGGCCGCTGGGCTAGGCGCAAGAAGATTCGTGCCTGAACCCCTCGCTTGGTCTTGTTTCGGATGGACTGCGCCTTGCGGACAAGGACAGCTTGCGCGGAGGCCTTCTGTCGAACCCCCTTGCAACATCTCCCACTCTGCATGCCGCGTCTGTAAGGAGCTTTGCATCAACCTTCCCAAGCCTCTTTGGGCAGGACGTCTTGGTCGGTGACGATGCTTCCATGTTTGATGACCGCCCAGAACACCTCCTGTCAAAGGGACTAAATGTCCGTTTCCGGAGTCGCTCTTCGCAGCCCTCCTTGTGTTTCAGCTTCGCAGCCACCTGTGCAGGTGTCTTCTCCTTCCGAAAGGCGGAGAGAGCTGTTGCGGCGGTAGTGCGGTGGCGCGGTGGTGGTACTGCGGTACTTGGACTCGGGTCGGTTGGTCGCGTCCTCCTGATCCAGCACGGAGACGTCCGCGCCCAATTGCTCGATCAGAAAGTCCCTGAGTCGCAGTGAGGCGGGAGGCGGACGCCGGATGAGATCAAGACTCGGTGACTCGGTGGCTGCGGTCATCCGTTCTTGGCTGCCAGGCGCGCAGGATTCGGCCTCGACAGGGTCACAGAGCCACAATCATGATGTGTCATGGGGCTAGATTCCGCACATTCTTCTTGGCGCAGTGGTGGAGCAAGCCCTGAACGGAAGCACGCTGTGGAAAGGATTCGCACAGAATGCGGCAACGACACCTCTCCAAAGAGGAGGGGAACCTCCGGTGAGAGGCGCTGCTCCTCGAAATTTTGCGTTCATCCGACATCTGAGTCAGGCAACAACGGAGAACTGCAGATCCCTTTTTCACCAAGGCCAGGGTCGTACTCTGTAGGTTGAGATCTGAGGAAATTCAAACGCAGTGCTCCGACTCTTCAGACTCTAACATTGCATCAGAGGCCGCTGTCAGCATAGTCTGGGGAGTGCGGAGTGAGAGGAGTGGGGTGTGGGAGTGCAGAAACGGAATATGAGCCGATTTTTCCCATTAACTCGCTGCGACTCTCTTGGTGCGAGGGGGTTTGGTATTGATATGTTCCTTGGTCGCTCACCCCTCAAACCTAAGATGTTAGATGACGATAGCCTTCACAATGTAGATGTTCACTCTGCAGGGACAACATTTTGCTTGCCGGTCGCAATCGTCGGTCTGTGCAAAGGGGAGATGACTCACGCTCACGGGTTGTCAGAACAGTCGCGCAGTTCCAATGGCATTTACCGTCAATAGCCACCCGCAGTCCTTCTCGACGGATTCGTTGCATCTCTAGTCAGTCTTTTGAATGCAGTGAATGAAGATACAACCAATCCAGTACATTTGTCGATGCGGCATAAAGTTCGAGATTCAATCTTCGATGTAATGCCAAGAGATTTAGAGACTTGGGCAGCGTGGGCCTGTCGGGGTCATCCTTCAGAACTTCAGAAGCCAGCATCTGAGCCAAGGAGTCCTCCAGGCAACGCTGCAAAGCTTTCGGACCTGAGCTGTACAGATCTGAGCGTCACCTCTCGCCTTGCGCCCCTTGCCCCTTACCAAGGCGACGGCAGTGGTTGTCGATCGCCGAATAAATCACCAGCACGTCGAAGAGCTCTGGCCTGACTGTGGGCCCTCTCAGCTCTAACCCGAAGCTCGAACGTGAAGCTAATGTATAGAGTCTATAGAGTCTAGAGTCAAGCGGCAAGTGCGAGACCATCAAGCCTCAGCTCAACCCGTCAACACGGCCCGTCTTGGCACATGTGCAGGCTCACTTCGGAACTTCTCCACGTCGATGGAGATGAGCTCACAAAACCTCTGAAGGCAAAGAACTCGCATCAAAAGCCAACCCTCGCGTCGGCAGCTTCGAGCTTGGGACGACGAGCAGGTGACGGTCTTCCAGCTCCTGTGACAAACTGCGCGAGATAGCGAGGCAGAGGAAGGCAGAGGAAGGGAGCCAGGGGGCAAGGAAGTAAGAAAGTGAAAGGCACAGAGACAGGAAACAAGAAGCCAACACAAGGGAACAGGGAGAGGCTCTGCGCAAGTTTTGCTCTTGTTGGCTTCGACTCGGAATGTCATTTTACAACGTATCGGTGTTAGATCCTGCATTCCGCCGGAGTCAGACGAGCGAACTCAACCGAACACCGAACTGGAGGCTTGTTTGCTTCGGTGACGGCAGATCCTTGCCGACCGAGCCTGTCACCCGCACATATTTCTCACATTGTAGCACAAGGAGGGTCAGTGTTTACATGTCAGTGCGGAAGCAGCCTGTTTCCGCAAAGGGAATATGGGTCATCTCATAAACGGCGTTGTCTCACGCCCTTTGCTGTTTATGCTAGTCTCGCTCTGCCGAGGCCGATGCCGGCTGGCTCCCAAGAAAAGCCGCACATCGCCTTATTGGAGACCAGAGAAGCAAAAGAGTCAAGGCCAAGGCCTTCGCATCTTTGGGCCGCCGCCGAGGAAGGAGCCACCGTGGAGCTGCGCATCAGGCCTCGACAAGACACAGAAGTGCAAGACGCAAGGACGGGAGAACAGCGCAGGCCTCGCAGCTTCGACGGCCTCAGTTTCAGGCACTGCACACCCGTCCAGGCCTCCGTTCGCTTCTGCGTTTCCTGCGCTTCGCTGAGCTTCGGACCTCGACCTCCTTCTGGATCTCCTGAGGCGCAACGCAGCCCAGCAAAACGCGACTCCCTCCCGCCGCCCCCTGAGTGCAAGAAAGCCGCATCGATGTCCTCACAGAAGCACCATCGTTTTTTCAAACTGACAGGAACAGCAAACTTGCCCAAAAACCACGCTGTCCTCCATCTCTTCTCCGGGGCCTTCGTTGCAGTTTTTGCCCCCGTGGACTGTAAACGACCTTCCTGGCCTGCGAATGCCAATGACTTCGTCGTCATCGTCCTGGCATGAAACATCCCTCCGCATTGCATGAGTTGCGCATTGCCAGCCTTGAGAGCTTCGATGAATCCACCTTGCCTGTGTTCTTGCCTGTGTTCCTGCCTGCCGCACAATGTGTCGCGAGGTACACGACTCCCAAAGACCATTGGTCTCCCTGGATCGGCAAAATAGCTCAAGCTCCAGGCGCGTCTGCACTAACCCACGCCGGATGTAAAAGCCTCGGGTGCTTGCATCGAATCACTGTGTCGCAGCCTGTCGGTTGGCCCGCGTCAAGGGTCGCGCAGCTTTTGACCTCGGCGCCCTCCAGGATGAGTTCCTGTCCTTGTGAAAGGGCACGCACACAACTCTGCAAAAACCTAGACCAACGTCTTTTATGAATTATCGAAGTTTGAACTAGCCGTGAAAAGTATAAAACGTTTGGTGCGTGAGGGTTTGTATCCGGGGTTGTTTTCTAATTGCTCACCTCACAGAGCTTGTGGTAGTGGTAGCTTGACGACTGTATGGTAGGTCCCGACGGAGTCGCTGCACTACCTTCCCGTCTCCCTTGCTCAACACTCGCGCACACTCTTTTCCTGGCGCCAGCTTTGGACTGAATCAAGTCCGTGCAAGAAGATGGCTCGAATGCTGTCTAGATCAGAGTGGCTTACTATTCGCAGAATGGTGGGCTTGCTAGCTCGTTCTTGAGCCACGATGTTGGCGGTACGCTCGATAGCATTGACAAATGTAGTAATCGCACGCTGTTCGGGAACCGACCCAGCGGCGCTACTCCGCATAGCTCTAATTACCAATCATAACGTGACACTAACGAATTGTACGAAGCATCGAGGAATGATCGCACCCCCCATGAGTAAGACCTTCGGTCATGCTCACACCGGAAGAGAGTCGCGACAGAAAGGATATGAGCGCTTTACCGCTTCAACATCGCAAGTAATGGAAGTCGAGCCTTGTCATCCCTAATTATAGTTTGTGCCAGTTCGCTACGTCAGTGACGATCCCCTGAAAAGACATATGACGTCAGAATCAGACAGTCACCGCAGAAAGCCGTCCGTGATGAAGATCACGTTCGCGAAGCTTATGCCACAGAGTTCATAGTTGAGGTCCAGATACGTTGACATCAAGATCGCGATCACATCCAGTCACGATACTCGTGCCTCCATCGACCAGAAGACGATCTTGTTCGCGGTCATCGAGTTGAACTGTACCACCCTACGCGGTCACACTTTTCACTGCTGAACCAAAAGGCTCTGCACGGTCACAACTATACATGCATGATTCCACGCCGTAGCCTTGGGCTCCCAAAGGGGGACTTACCTATACAGGAAATTCAACACCCTGCCTCGAGGTTTATGTCGCTGTACAGTTTCTGCTTTATGGCCTTGCGGGCACTCCTCGTTCCACCGTGGAGTTTGACTCCATCCTGCGGATTGAAACACTTCAGTGGTGCAACATACCCACCTTTTACCATCCCCCAATTCCGGGGACTGTCCATAGGCCAACCGTTTTTCCAAAGTACAGTAGCACACACCTCGCCTTTACTTCGGCAACCACACATCGTCCCTTCAACTGCTGCTCTTCCTCAGCTCGCAGCTTGTCCTCTTCTTGGCGCTCACACCATTCTCCTCCATAGCGATTCTCCTCAAAGCTTCTCGGCCTTCTTCGCAACGTACCTTTGCACGCTCCTTTCCGTCCTTCTGTCGTTGTTGCGTTCCGGCTTTGGTCTCCTGATGAACTAGCATCCCAACTGCGATCTTCATCAGCTCCTCCTTCTGGATTCTGGTCGTAGGTTTCTCTCCATTTGTTCGTGGCGTAGTTCTGGATACAATTCTCACACGAACACCAACGATGTCCAACCTTCCTTCTTGAACATCGCTGTTCTCCACACCAGTAGCACATACGATGACATACGACAAACGGTCCTTCTTCTTCGGCTACTTCAGCAACTTCCCATTCCTCTTCTTCACTGGTTGCCGCTTCAGAATCTGGCATACTTCTTCCTTTCCTGGGCTTGTCCGCTGCGCCACTTTCTTCGAAGACTTCTGAAGCAGGATGGGAATATGTGAGTAGCCGCAGTAGCCAAGTCAGTAGTCAGAAAGGGTTGTCTTTTCCAGTAGGAACAGAAGTGCGATCCCCTGATCTTGGTACCCCGACTCACTACAGTCCTGCGAACAGGGGCAAAACCATTACCGAAACATGCTCTGCATTTCACCTATGGTACAAGACGTCAACATGGATCATCAGCATGGTCCTTCGTTGCCATCGAGTACGGAACCAGCGTCGAATGTCACTCCCCGTGGGGTTGAGATGCGAAATAGTCAGCTTCGTGATCTTCTTAACACGCAGGGTATGCACGGAAGATCTTCGTCCTCATCGTCTACTACACGCTTTTACAGGTCGAACACAAGAACATCTTTGCAGAGAATGATGATGACGACAAGACGGAAAAGCTGATTGCTGAGCTGGTAGCACGGGATGTAAAGACGCTTGACGAAGGCAAAGAGATTGATAATCCAGGCGATGCCTTTGGCGCGACCTGCAGCTTCTTCATCAGACATCAACAATCACTTGACGAGGATCGAGGCCGACTACATCGCACAGGTGACGGAACTTCGGTATGAACTACGTCAGTCCAAACTGAATGAAGAGCGCTTACGTGAGGATCGAAACAATTGGCGACAAGCGTCAAGAAAGACAAGAATAAGGAATTAGGAAATGAAGAAACCAAGAGATTCAGATCAGAACTAGGATCTATTCCGCACCTAGCCCAGGACAGGATCGATATTCAGCATGCCTCAAAATGCTTAGCATCGAGTATGTCGAAGCCGACAGTTCAAGCGTTGAAGTGTTTGAAGCGTTTGATCTTGTATCTCAGCGGAGTTTGAGGAGAAGCTTCAGCGGGAAGAAAATGAATGTTATCAGAGGTTGAGGGCTGAAATGTCCGCTGAAGAGTTGCAGCAAGATGAGTTGGTAACTGATCTAATGGACCAGAACGCCGAATTGCACTGGCTAATCGGAAATGCCTCCAAAGTGGCACCACCGCTAGACTTCCAAGTCCAAGTCGACTGGAGAGGGCATCCTCAACAGGCCCGGCTCCAAGCAAGAGGAACTTGCCTTGGTTCCGGGAGGAAGAGGAGGAGGCCGAGGACGGGGCCGAGGAGGAGGACCTCAATCCTTTCGTCCAAGTGCATCAGATAGGAAATCACGTTGTCGTTCCAACTCTTCAATCCTCATCGTTGATCCTTGGAATCCTTGGTCTTCCTGGACATGAAAGTTGACCCGTTGCACCATTTCATCCAGTCTCGCGATCAGTTTCGCCACAGTTGCTTCATGGTGTTGTACTTCTTCGTTGTGAATGCTTCTCATCTCTTCTTCAGCACGTAGTAGTTTCTGGACGATTTGATCACCAACTGCTTGGGATGGATGATGTGAACGACCTGTAAGGCTCAACGCTGGAAGTTTGCCGCGTGCTTCTTCCTGTTGACGAGATTGGACGGCCCTGTCCAACATGAAGTCGGCACCGCCCGAGTCACCGGTCATCGGTGAATCCGCATCCCTCGCCAAAGGCATAGGGGTTAGCTCAGTCGTTCGCCGCCTCACCAAAGGAAACGGTGGCTGAGACTGTTTCTTTGCATTGTTTCGCGACGCGCTCCTGGATGAAGATCTTGGCTTCAACTGTTCCGGGCTTCTTGATTCACGGTCTTTTGTCTTCGTAGTCATTTGCAAACATTGCGTCACCGTCTTTGACGGACGTCTCTCACTGGGCTTCACTCTGGTACCAGCTGATGTAGATCGCTGTTGCGATAACGTCCTGGGTAACCATCTTGCCCTTGACCTCTGACGTAGACTTGTGGACGATTCCGATGGTTTCTGTTTCTTGCCCTCCTGTGTGGTCGCTGAGTCCACAGAGATAGTCTCGACAGTTGATTCCACTTGCCGCTGGCATTGCAACTTCGCCACCACCAAAAGTCATTGTCGTATCTGCACTTGATCCAGATGCCATTGTTGTTGTGTTGGCACGTGTCAAAGTCCTTGTGTAGGCAGAGCCTACGGGCGATAACCTGCGTGAGGGTTTGGTATACGATAGTATCGCAGAATGCTCACCTCTCCGAGCTGTATGTTGTAAGATGTTGTGATAGCCCACTTATGGTATTGACACTCACCTCCCTTGCAAGCAAACTCGGCGACATTTTTCTCGTTCTCTGCCACTGAGTAATCTATGCAGAGGGGGAGACGCGCACACACGTTGTATGGACATTGAGCTGTGCGCCTGAGTCTTGAGCCACATACCGGAGTTCAGTGCTCGGTCAGTACTTGGTAACCAACGGTTTCCCAAGCATAACATAGCTCATGATACAATGCCCAGAAATGTGCTAGGCTTCGAGGTCTCGTGAGCGCACATACATGTCACTGCGTCATGTGCACAGGTCTCTGCCAGCTGTAGTTCAGACTTGCATGTTGTTGTAATTTGTATGTTTGTCCAAAACAATATGTTTTGGCTCAAGTGCCTTTTTCTAGCTACTAGGTGCGCCAAGTGTGCGATAGCAGGTGTGTAGCTCTTGAGTTGCACGCCTGCGGTCGGTCGTACGACGCGGTGTTGCCTATAGTAACTGGGAGCGTGCGAGTGGACTCGCGAAGCAGAAAACAATTGCGCTGCTGTGTTTGCCACTTTGCGCAAGACCAGTTAGCGTGCTTCACAATGGGGGGCTGTTCTGGGAAACGCTCCCCCAGGTCGCACGGCCCATCGCGGTCCGTGGCTGGACGCGTGGGTCTCGCCCACGCTTGCGGCCGTTCTAGGCGCAGCGTGTTGCTGCACCGGTCCTGCGCCTCTTGTCGAAGGAGGCCACTGCGAGCGTGTCACCCTTCTCGACTGCGAGACGGGTACGGCCCCTCCCCCCGGCCTACGTCCAGTGGTTGAAGTGGCGGAAGCATACTGGTACCATACCAGTTTCGTGCCGCGACGGGCGGTTCACTACGTCGCCCTTTGGCACGGCGCAGCGTCATGGAGTTCCTCCATGATACGCAGGAAGGAGAAGAGGAGGAGAGGAGGAAGACGAGGAGGATCTTCCTCCCTCCATGGCACCCGTCGATGGGCCGCTGCCGGGGATGGCTCGGCGGAGGCGGCTGTCCCTATGCGCCACTGGGCTGGCTGCGCCCGGTAACGGCGCGCTGGCTGACCGCTCCGCCCTCTACGGTGGGATCCATGCCTGCTACGGCTGAGACCCTGCAGGCAGAGTTGCGTAAGTTGCGATTTGGCGGGGCGAGCCCGAGAGGCTCACGACGAAAGCTTCGCTCCTTGCGCAGAGTTCGGCCAGGTCGGGGGCGACTTGCACCCGACCAGAATGGTCAGGCGCTTGCGGACCAGGTTGTCGGTCGCAGCGCGATGACGGCGATGCCGCCGAAATCCAGAAGGAGAGCCAAGCGATTGGTGAGCTCATCCTTGTCCTCGGCGGCAGGCAGAGCACCTAAGGTTTGGAGCTCTCCTTCTGACAAGTCTGGCGCCCCGCCTCTGCAGGAGCCTGTGCCACCTGCACCTGTTGCTGAGTCTGTCGAGCCTGCTGGACCGCAGCTTGAGAATCCCAACCAACGTGCCACCACCTTCATGCGGGGCCTTTCGCGCCGAAGTTCAAGGCAGACGGCTCCACGACGCTCGCCTGGCAGCTCACCTGCGCGCACCCGGACCACAAGAACTGCAACCGTGCCAGGAACGTCAAAGCTTGTAGTTCTGAGGACGAGTGTCTCCGCATGCTCAAGCAGTGGGCTTTGCTCAGACGGATCTGCGCAAGCAAGGCAGACCACAAAGAACTGTGGCAGAGCGTGGAAGGCATGCTCGCTGCAGGCACGCTGCCTGGCACAGAGGACCTGGATGCCTGGACGGCCTCCGGCTGCAGCAAAAAGCCTTACGCCTTTGCACTGTTTGGTTTAGGTCTACCCGGGTACTGTAAGCTGAACGTCTTTAGCTTCCGCTTTAAAGCTTTTTGTCCTTGAGTGTTTCTGACACTCTTTCCAGTTGGGGGCTCAAACGGCAAGAGATGCTCCGCTACGGTGACGTGGGCTGAACGCAGACCAAGGTCCTCCGCCTCCTATAAGACGAAGGAAGAGAAGGAACGCATCGCCTTGGACTGGAAGCGAGGCAGAACCTGAGGTCGCTCGGGAACAAACGCTACGGAACCTTCCTCAGCTTACAAGGCACGCGGGTTGAACATGACGACCGAGGCCGCCGAGCTGTACCCTCGCCCCGTGTGTCTGGCAGCGCTCACACGTTGCTTCGGCCTGGGCACAGACCCACCGACCTTGTCAGCCCCTTGGGCTCCGGCTCTGGTAGAGCCGGTCTCGGATCCGCAGTAAATGCGATTTACTCCTTCGGGCTCTCCAGCCAAATGCTTCCTTTCCCTTATTTCCGTTGCCCGCGCTTGCCCTCTCGCCCCCAAGTAACTTGCACGAGGCTCCGCTACCAGTCTCAGTAGCGTCCGGCAGCCAAGTCCATCGCGTTCGGGAAGACAGCTGCTCATACTCGCGCCTGTCTTTTTCACACACACACACACACACCCACACACACACACACACCACACCCCGAGCTGCACGCTGATGCAGAAAGCAAAGGCGCCAACACTTCAAACTCTGAGCCTCTGCAACTCCAGCTGTCACAAGTTAAAAAACCAAAACCCTGCAACTTCTGTTGCTGGCAGCGACGGAAAACTGAATGCCTGTTTCGCAGAGTCCGTCATGGCATGCGTCAGCATAGTGGCCGAGTGGGGGCTAGCCGAGAGAATAACTTCGTTAGGCTGTGGAAAGATCTGTGCTAAGCGACGATGACGATGTGTCTTACTTGCACATTGTCGATTCTTCATATTAGAACTCTCCGAGGTCTAATAACCCTTGAAGTGGTCTCTGACACTGTCGCACTCACTTGCTGACACACTCCCTTGTGCTGCCGGGCCGGGAGGATGGAACTCCATGTCACAGATGTCGCAGATCTTGGTTGAATTGGATAAGGCCGGGCGGAGCCTAGCCAAAAACCTCGTCTTCCGGGGAAAGGGCATCCACCAGGATGTCTGCTGGAACCTGTAAATGCTGGAAAGCGAAGGATCGGTCCACAGAAGCGGAAACTGAGCGCAGGACGAGCTGAAGTAAGTGGTGCGTGGCTAAACAAGTTCCAGTCAAGGCCATATTGACGTTGACACGCAGGACCTCCGACCTCGGATTCGGGGCTGGCAGCCGCGAGCCGACGCAAGGAGAATCCGTCCGAGTCCGAGGAGTGTGACTTTTTCAGCCACTTCATGAGCATAGACTTGGTCTCCTCTCTCTCCTGCAACTTCGACAATTCTCTCATTCACACCAGCCCCGCCAGCTGCAACCGCAAAAGGATAGGTGACAGAGTCCTGATTCTCGAAGAACTGCAGGAGGTAGTTGTGGACCTATATGGTACACGCGTACGTCACAGCGCGATAATTCCAAATGGCTTCTTTATGCCAGGCGGACACAACCGCGGAATGAATAGCACGCAGTGCGATGTGTAGTAAATCGTGAATGTGTTGAGTAGGGCCGCAGCACGTGACTGCAAGTCACCAGGCACAGAATACACCCTCAAGAAGCGCGAAACCTGATGCAAGTGAGCGGATGCGCATGCGCGACGAAATTTGCTGCGCTTGCCACAGCGAGAGAGACAGCATCAACCCAAGCGATCCGCCTTCGCCAACTGTTCGTTTGTCACCGCGGTCCTCTAGGCACAACATCAACACGGAAACAAATTGGACTTGCTGGCACTCCTTTCGCTGAGCTTTGACACAATCCTGAGATGTGACCGTCTGGCGCGACGATACTGAATACATCTGCACGGACGCACTCAGACTGCACGCCCTCTCCGAGAAGCAAACGTGGCCACGCCATTCACCGCCACTCCGACTACGAGGCTCGTGGTTGCCCTGAGGCAACAAGGCTACTGCGACGGGACAGGAAAGCGGCGGAAAATGGTACTTGCTGCCCAGGAGCATGATGACACACAGCAGTGCCCTCTCGTTGGACAGATTCATGTTGATGTCGCCCAAGCCCACGGTGGACATTACCTCGGAACGGCACCATGTCCGTTGCTGCATTGCATGGCCCAACATGGCGCGTTGATGTTCACTCCGAGACCATGTCCGTGATGGCGAAATACATGGCCGTCATGTAGCGCTCTCCCATAGGCACCGCCTGAAAACAGGTAACGCTGGGAATCCAAATGCAAGAAGTGTCATGAGGAAGAAGACCGACGTCCTCGTTCCTCTCGTAATTCCAAACGCAAGCTGAACGGTGCCCCAAACGTCCCTCCCCGCCGTCGCCGCCACAAGCCGGCAATAAATAAATACTTCACATCACACATCTGAATCGTTTGTGCGAGGCATGTCGATGGCGATGGGGCGACTGGCGCCAGGACATGGACATGGACTTCGTCCGCCAGAGAAAGTAATTTTCAGGCCAAGGACTGTTCAAGTGATGATTGGTTTTGATTTTTGCAGCTCAGATCCTCTCCTGACTGCCTTGCTCTTCAGGATTGGTTCAGCCACGTCCGCATTATGGTTTTCTAACCTCTGCCTACACAGAGCGGTGCACCAGAATCGACTACATAGACTGGCAGCCTCGTGCATCTGCAGCTGTTACAGCGGGGCTCACAGTCACAAGGCGCCTGCAAAGCTCCTGGGGCATCGGAGATGTCCAAGCCCAACTGCCCCAGAATGCGATCAGAAGATGCTTCTCCACGTCAACTGGAGTGCGGCTACATGTACGGCCTTGATCCAACTCGGAGTTGTGGCATCTGACTCCTTGGATGGCACAGCGCCACAACAGAAACAGTGGCTCTGCAGCCGTATGCGAGAGTGATCTTTTTATGGTCAGCTGGGCGCATGGCCAGGTTGCTTCGACCCAGGTACCAGAGGGCACAGGCCTTAACCATGCATGGTCAGGATCTTAAGCAGAAAATCCCAGTGTTGAATACCTGTCTTTGGTCGGCAGGATTTGAAAATATTAAGATGAAACCACTCTCTGCTGAAACTGCGGGCCCTTCCTTGCTCTGCATCCCTTCTGCGCTTCTTGGAGCGAGACTGAGATGTGCGAGAAAATGATGGGCAGCATGAAGAGCCTCGTAAGGACAGGCCGCAAGTGCCCCCTCGCAATTCAGTGCCTTCTGCGAGGTCTCTGCTGCACGAGGGCCACCACGGATGAGACCAGTGAAGACTTCAAGTTGGCCTCCAAACCCCAACGCGCAGCCCAACACCAAGTGGCCGAGGTGGCAAGGAAATTGACGCTATGCTGTTCAGTCCCATGTCTTCTTGCTTGGAAGGCTGTCCTGGTGTGCAGGAAGGGGGTGGGGGCCGGTGCGGGGTTTCTCCCGCGCGCTAGGCGGAACCAGCCACGCCCCCACCAGCCACACCAGCCACACACGCCAGCGCTCTGCCACGCCCTCGACCAGCCGCCAGCCACACGATCCACATGGAGCCACCAGCCGCACACCCCCCAGCCACACCAGCCACAGAGCCACCAACCACACCAGCCACCAAGGCCCCCACCAGCCACAGCCACGCCCCCACCAGCCACACCAACCATGCACCAGCAACGCCCCCACCAACCACCGCCAGCAACGCCCCCACCAGCCACACCAGCCACGCCCCCCCAATCACACCAGCACACACCATTGCAGCCACACCCTACCAGCCCACTCTAGCACGCCCCCACATCAACCACGCCCCCACCATTCACACCACCACACACCAGCCATGCCCCTACCAGCCGCACACCAGCCACGCCCCTAAGCCACTCAAAAAACAATCATGTGCATCATGAATGCCCGGCCGCGCCGACGCGGCGAGAGCCCTCAGGGGAGCATCATGAGCATCATTGGCTCCTCGTTTCTCCATTCCAGGGCAAGCCGAAGCGCTCCCTTTTCATGCCCGAAAAAGGAGGGGGTCCGCCCACCCCTTGTTGCAACCTTCGGTTGATAAGAAACTCCGCTGCCCTGGAGGCGGCTTTCGTGATTAACCGTAAGCCACTAGCTATCTGTGCATGTAGCAAAGCCAACTGCGTTGTCCCCGTGCAAAGGCAAGCCTTTAGATCCTCAGAGATGGCACTGCACCCGTATCTTTCCACCGAAGGGGGGATACTCGGGTCCTTTCCTCCTTCCCCCTTTTCTCGTCTCTTCCTTGCGGTGGGCGAAGCAGGACAGGCTAGCTTATATCATTCGTGAAGTTGATGCCTGGGAATTCTGGCAGTCTTTGTTGCAAGCTTGATTCCCCATTCCCCTTCAACAAAGGGGAGGTTGCAGTGAAAAGTGTAATGCGATTTTTACAGCAACATCGAAGGGTGAGGGTGAGGGTGGAAGAGAGGGAGAGAGGAGGGACCAAAACTAGCGATGTTGCATCGCACATCACTCGCTGTGCAAACGAAATCCCCGCTTCCAGTCGGCGCAGCATGTGGAAGGCTCGCCATAGCCTGTCACCGACCAATGTCTACAGTCTACAGCGGGAGAAAGCGTACGGCAAGATGCAGAGCCTTGGAGTGCGCAAGAACGGAGAGAAGCCGAGCCATCGCAGTGGCCTTTTTTGCGGTGGGGTGGGGGCAGTTGCTGTTCAGCAGTTCGCAGCTTCTGAGGAAGTCTCCACAAGTGGCTCTCGTCCCTCCTTGGCACAAGAGACGTCACAAGCCTCTAGTGAAGGCGTGTTCCCTCCCTCTTTCGGCCTGATCAGATCCAGCACGAGCAAATGCAACCTCTGTTGAAAACGGGGGAAGTGCGTGATGTGATCAGAGCCCCGTCCCACGGGCGCAAGAGTTCTCTGCAGCTCAATTTGCTACCAGACAACAAGAGTGCCGGCACGGTGGCCAAGAGGTCTATGGGAAACCAACTCCTTCCGACGTGCCGGCGGCGGCTTTCAAACACAGTGTGGGCACACGTCATCAAGTCAGGTGCCTCAAATAATGAGCCGCGGTCGACCGGAAGTCGCAGTGAAGCACCTGACGAAAGCTTAGAGCGGAAACCAGCTCCCTAAACCTGAGCAGCCGATCCAAGCCACCTGTACTGCATCTCGATAACCCGTGGTGAAGTTGAGCAACTGAGACGAACATCACATAGTCAGAGGCACACCGGGGACCTGGGTGCATTTCGGGCTCCCTGCCAAGTCAGCAGTCCAAAAGATGTCCATCGCCAGCAGACTACCATTTATGGTGAAGAAGGCGGCATCCTCCATTGAGACTCGATGAGCAATGCTACGGATAGGTTCCGCTGCCTGGAAGTCTGCGTTGCTCACAAAAGCTGCTTGGAAGGGCCTCAGTCAACAGAGATACCCTGAGCTGGAGCTGAAAATGAAAGGGAGAAGAACCCGTTTCTTTCTCTTGGTGTGGCACAAGTAGAGGAGCTGCAGGCACAGCAGCGCAGAGGCGACCATGTCCCAGCCTCACGCTCTGGAGTGTTCCTTTGGAGTGTTCCTTTGCTTTGCGTTGCCTATCGAGCGAAGAGGAAAGCTTTTGAAGGTGGGGTTCAAGGTTCCGGATGTCGATACCACACTCCTTTTGGGGATCTCCCGACCACTGCGAAAATCCCTGCTGGTAGTGCTCTTTAATCCTCTCAGTCTGCGGAGTGCTGGGGTCCGGTCACTGCCGCGGCCGCCCGCTCGGGTCCGCGAAAGGCCAATCCGCCTTCCGGAGCCGCCACCAAGCCTTCGAGTCTCAGAAAAGAAGCTGCTACGCCTATGCCTACGTGACCGTCCTTGCTGTTCAACTTCTCCATCTCGGAGGCCTGCAAGACGACGGCGGTCCTGAGCACACGGTGCAAGCCATTAGACCATTTAGACGCCAGGCCACTCGCCACTGCCTGCGCGCCAGTCGCCCCTGAGCCTTCATGGCCATCTTGGCCTCCATGGCCTCCCATGCTGACACCGGCACACCCCGCGATGACAGCTGTCACGGGCCGAGTCCCAGCCTCGAGGTTCGTGCTGCCTCCGGTCCTGTTCGTATCCGATAGCTTAAAGCCTGTCTTTGAGCGCGGCTGCGGGCCCGCCTGAGGCTCGGCCTGACCTTGGCCACCGCCTTCCGAGTCGGAGGACTCCTGATGAGGCAGACTCTGTCCGAGACTCGCGGCTGCGGTACATGTGCCATCATGTCTGTGCCTGGCAGGAGCGCGCCAGCAGCGAAAGGGCTTCGCCATAGCATCGGCAACTCGCCGGTAGAGCCTCTCGTTGTCACTCGGCCCTAGGCCGAGGCTGCCGTGGCTGAAGTTGAGGCCAAGGGGCGGCAGAGGCTCTCTGTCGCCTTGCTCGTTCAGGTAATTCGGCAGGATCTCCAAACTGTTCCTCAGCTGGGAAGCCCTTTCTAAAGCCCTCGAGCCCTCCGCTCTCGACTCTGGGTCGACGGCATGAGTCGCACGGCACTCATCCTGCGGTGGGCAGCTGCACCCATGTGCGTCCGTGCGCCCTCACTGTCTCCTGCGATCCGTGCGCACGGTGGAGCGCACGCTCTTCTCAGATGGAGCGTCCTGGCTTGGAGCCCCCACTAAGCCACGAAGCAGGTTTGAAACCTCTACCATGTGTCGGAAGCCGGTGCTGAAAACCTCCATGTTTGCTAAAGTTAACCCTCTGGCACTGTGTCCTCTGAGTCGTTCATCGACGATGTCTGCGACGACGTCGCACCCCGAAAATCGGCCTGCTTGAGCTGTTACTGCCTGTTGCAGCTTTTGCACTGTCTACAAGGGAATGAAGGCAGAGCTGTCTCGCCCAAAAAACGACTTGTCGGCTCTGTTCTATGTCAGGGTGAGATTCTCAAGAAATCCCCTGCTGCCGTGAAAGACCGTCTGGGATCGTCAACATGCAGTTTTCAGCAATTGAGCGCAGCGCAACTAGAAACACCTCCACAAACAAGGGGCAGGCGCCGTCGCTGGCCTGTGGTGAGGGAAGGCCTTGTGGCAATGCCGGGCTGGGCAAGGCCGGGCTCGTCACCTTAAGACAGCGCCCCAGCAAAAGCAGCCCTCTGAAAGAACTCCTTTGAAGGCCGCACCTCCTCCAGCAGACCGGGAGGCTCAGAGAGCCGCCTGCAGCATGAACAGCGTTGAGCACTCCGTTGAGCACTCTTTTCTGTGCTCCCCCTTTCTTTTCCACCTCTGGTCGGAAAAAAGCGCCGCGGCCAAGTCGGCCGGGTCCTCAAGGCTAAGTCACATTCGCGCTGCCGGAAGGCGTCGGAAGCTCCGAGCAGTACTTCGACTCCGCTTGATGTATCCAACACAACACACGAAGCGACCGGGAGGGGGGGGGTTGTGGTCTGGATGCCGCTCTGGACCACGAAGCCCTAGCGAATTTGGTCATGCGGCGACACGAGAACAAGCAATTTGGGCTGGTTGCTCAGATCCGCTGTGCGAGTTGGGATATCAAGCATTCAATCAAGTTTCATGGTTAGGCACTCGTTATGCTCAACTAAAATGCATGGTACTTTCTACGTATGTATAAATTGGATCACGCTCGTATGTTGCTCCCATATGGTTTGTATACGCTTTTGTACAAACATAAACTACTATTTTATGCCACGGTGAAAAGAGTACAGTATGATGTAATATATTATACTATAAGCAGACTATAACTCATGAAGTCTTGGTGTTCACGAAGGCTGCAGAGGCGAGCTGAACCCCGCAGACATCTGTTGCGGAGTGGTTGCACGCGAACCACGGTGCGAAGCTACAACGGGCGGCTCGTGACGTGCCTGTACGATGGGCACTGGGGTTGGTCGGGGCATACAGTACATACATTCCATACATACATTTCACACATCACATACATTACCTTACATTACCTTACATTACCTTACATTACCTTACATTACCTTACATTACCTTACATTACCTTACATTACCTTACATTACCTTACATTAACTTACATTACATTACGTTACATTACAATACATCACATTGCATTACATTACATACACTACATTACATTACATTCATTACATTACATTACATTACATTACATTACATTACATTACATTACATTACATTACATTACATTACATTACATTACATTACATTACATTACATTACATTACATTACATCCATTACATTACATTACATTACATTACATTACATTACATTACATTACCATTACAGTACATTACATTACATTACATTACATTACATTACATTACATTACATTACATTACAGTACACCTCAGTTCAATACATTTCATTGCATTACATTACAGTAGAGTACATTACATTGCAGTACATCTCATCACATTACAGTTACATTACGCAAATTCCTTATATTCCATACCGTCCATACAGTGCCATGCAATCCAATACATTACATGACATTACATTTTTCACATTCATTCATGCATGTACCTACACACATACGTTACATCACATTACATTAGGCTACATCACATTACATTTCATTTCATTGCATTTCATTACATTTCATTACTTTTCATTACATTTCATTACATTTCATTACATTTCATTTCATGTCATTACATTTCATTACATTTCATTACATTTCATCACATTTCATTACATTTCACTACATTTCTTTACATTTCATTACATTTCATTATATTTCATTACATTTCACTACATTTCTTTACATTTCATTACATTTCATTATATTTCATTACATTTCATTACATTTCATTACATTTCAGTACATTTCATTACATTTCATTACATTTCATTACATTTCATTACATTTCATTACATTTCATTACATTACATACATGCACACATACACACATACACACATACATACATGCATGCATACATACATACATGCACAGACTCATGAATGCACTTTGTACATATACATATACATAAACATATACATATACCAATACCTATACCTATACGTAAACCTATACATATACATATAAGTATGCGTACACATATACATATACAGGTACATATACATCCACATATACAATACATGTACATGTCCATGTACATACACATGTACATATACATATACGCACATAAACACGTATGCCCGTGCGTTATGAACACGCGACTATGCAAATACATGTTGTGTGTGTCATGCAAAGCTCATTCAGACTGCAGACAACGACAACAACAAGGCTAAGGACAAGGACGAGGACGAGGACGAGTTGTCGTCGTCATACCCTGGAGAAGCGGGTCGAACTAGTGTAAAGTTCGGCATCTATTTATATCGCTTCTGGCTGTTCCTGCTTTTGTTTCGATGCTTGGATTTTCGGTTGCTCTTGCATTTTCGATGTTGGCGCATACGACTCAATTATGTGCTATGTTTCGTTTCCTCGGTGTTGCCCTGTCGGCTTCAATACATGTGACCTTTGGCTCATCTCGTTTAATTGAAAAAACGAAGATGCTCTTCATCTTCCCCACTCCCACTTCATATCTCAATAGGGATTTACCAGATGAATATCTACTTGTAATTTTCTATGTGTAATACCTATGTTGCACATGCCTCACATGTTTGTCTGCGCTGCAAGGCAATGCTTCTTTGGCTCAAATATTCCTTGCGTCAGTCCCACTGCTTAGTGCGATCATAGGACAACGACACGGCAAAACTTTATGGGCTGATCATAAATCATGATCCTGAGATCCGCCCCTGGCACCTTATTGATTAGTGACTGTTTGCGACAAGGTGAAAAGCTGCGCACACACCTTTTTCGAAGCTGAGCAGAGGGCTTCTCTCACTGATGCGGCCGGCGCTGCCTCTCCATCCGCGTCCTAAAGAAACGCGCAAGTGACTCCCTCACCCAGGCTCTTTCCGTCAACCGACTACCGTGCCATGCCCGATGGTGCCCGGGACCTCTCCTTTACGGATTTACGGGGTCGGGGCGCCCAAACAAACGCAGAAACATTCGCATTTTCATTTCTGCACTGAGTCCCTGGCATCGACCCTGAGCGGTCCGAAAGCTCAACCCCGGCTTGCTGCAATGACAACAACGTGCTAGCCTGAGAAAGGTCGGGATTCTGGTGGTTGTCGCCTCCTGGTGGAAAAGGACACATGGCCAGCACTGAAAATCAATAAGGTCGGCTTGCCAGCCTGGAGCTGTGTTTGCAGAGGCCTCTCAACAAGGCGAAGAGTCACTGATGGAGTGTGGCGTTGCCATCATTTGCCGCCTTATGCCCTCCCTGGAAAGCGCGGGTCTGACTCGCCGTGCGGGAGCTGGGCCCCTCGGTGCATCGGCTTAGCACAAGGCTCGGATTTCATTTCGGGGCGTGGGGGTGCGGCTGCGGCGTCTCGTCCATCTCCTGCGGTACATGGAGCAGTACCATTTTCGACCAGCATAGTATAGCAGTGGTAGAAGTTGCAAGTATGAACACAAGCCTGCGATAACTGTGGAATAGTGCTAATGGTCGTGGAGGCGGCGGTGGTGGTGGCGTTGGTGAAAGCGGTGGTGGCGGTGGTGGTGGTGGTGGTGGCGGCGGTGCTGGTGGCGGCGGTGGTTGTGGTCGTGGTCGTGGTCGCGGTCGCGGCCGCGGTCGTGGAGGTGGTGTGGTCGGTGGTGGTGTCGGTGGCGGTGTCGGTGGTGGTGTCGGTGATGGTGTCGGTGGTGGTGTCGTCGGTGGTGTCGGTGTGTGAGGGCTTCTTCTGAACCACGGAGCGTTGCTGGGGAGCTCTCTAGGACTTAGCTATCTTTGTGAACGCGTGTGGTTTGCGTAGTTGGTGAAGCTGTAATGCTGTAATGTGCTGTGTTTTTGGCTCAAGCGCACGTTCGCCGTTTCGCCATACCTGTAGTGCATACACACAAAGTGGGGCATGCGCGGACAGTTTTGGTCGCAAAATTTTCGGCTGTTGTGCGAAGGGGGGGGGCACATGCCCCCCCGTCCGTCCCTGTGAAGGTGAAGGAAATCTCCGACTTTTCAGCAGAAAAAGCTGTGAAAGTTCTGCAACACCTGAACAGACGAGCTGCTGCGACCTGACACTTACAAGCACGTCTGCACACAGGTTGGGTGAGGGTTCCTGTGTATGCGGTGGCCATATCCCATCCGACCCCGCCGCAAACATCCCAACCCTCAGCTTTACCTGTAGTGCATGCTTTGTGTGAGGCATGGGCAGACAATTTTGGTTGCAAAATCTTCGGCTGCGTTCCGTGTATGCGGCGGCCATATCCCCTCCTACCCCGCCGCAGACATACCAACCCTCAGCTTTATACCTGTAGTGCATACACACAAAGTGAGGCATGGGCGGCTGCAAAATCTTCGGCTGCTGTGCCCCCCCCGTCCGTCGCTGTCAAAGAAATCTCCGCCCAAAGCAGAGCCGCAGCCACCGCCCATGCCGCCTCCGACACGTAGACGTAGCCCCAAACAAACGCGCGGACGGGCAACCTGACTCACACACGCACTCACGACGCTGCGGTACAATATAACGCGCGGGAGCACCCTCCACCAACAGCATCAAATGCCCAATCTCAGGCTCTTGGGCCCTTACATTGCACCCGACAAGGCAGGGGGTCGGCCGAACTCCAGCAAACCGTGTGGCTTGTGTCCAGAAATCAGGAGCCGCTGCACGTCCACGCGATAGAGCATCTGCCCAAGGCGACAAACGCAAGTCCAGACCCTGCTCAACGCAGCCAGCCAACATCGCCCGTCCTGGGCAGCGAGGCACAATGGCATTCCAATAAGACAAGTTGCGCCAATGCTTCGAACGTGACAATTAATGACTGAAGGTCAGGGTGCGTTTTGTCCGATGATTAAAGGCACCAAGCAGGCAAACGCTGAATCAATATGGAAAAGTAATGGATGTTCCGTGAATGCAACGTAGCACCAGGCGCTATCACCATCCACCTAATCCTGCATGGTCGCCCTCGAAGAGCGCATCTGCGACTGTGGTGGATAATTGGACAGCACGTTCACTTCCACCACCTCAGAAAAGACTGCCGCCTACGCGCCAGCCAACCTCACAACATACGTGGCCTCATCTACCACAGTAGCGATTTCCTCCGTCTGCTCGCTGTCCAAAGCCGCATCCTAGGTTTGGCCAGCGTGCGAAACCACGTAGCCAGCCAGGGCCGTAACCAACGGGGGAGCTCAAACGGCGACGCCTGGAAACTGACCGTCGGGAATGATGATCCGAATGGCAAATTCGAAATCAGCGCGGCTCTGGCGGAATTGTGCGAGTGTACCCGTGCGCACCGACTCGGTTCGTGGGGTCGCACAACCTTACAGAAGCCTGGAGAGTCAACTGTGGGGATCTGTTCTTTGTGGGACGATAGCAACGCGATGGTGGCGGAGCAGCAGCATGCCCGTCCAAGGACATTTGCGCTCCGGTGACCAATGCGGGCCAGAAAGAAGCACCAACACCCGGCAATGCGGTTTGTTACTGCCAAGAGTGGGCCAGAAAGAGCACAAAACCCAATGTTACGGCCAATAGCCAGAAAGCACCACCAGGAGTACGATTTGTTAGGGCTAGGAATGGGCCAGCAAGAACCACCCAGACCCGACGGCCAAGGGTGGGCCACAAAAAGACATCAAGACCCAGCTTACGATCTGTTTCGGCCAAACGAGGGCCAGAAAGAGCGACCAAGACCCAGCAGTTAGATTTATCACGGCCATGAGTGTGCCAGAAAGAGCCACCAAGACCCGGGAGTACGATTTGTTACGGCCAAAGAGCGGGCCAGAAAGAGCCACCAAGACCCGGCAGTACGATTTGTTACGGCCAAGAGGGTGCCAGAAAGACCCGCCAAGACCCGGGAGAACGATTTTGTTACGGCCAAGAGTGGGCCAAAAAGAGCCACCAAGACCCGGCACTGCGATCTGTTACGCCAGAAAAAGCCACGAAGGCCCGGGAGTACGATTTGTTACGGTCAAGTTGTGCACTCTGTTGTGCAAGCGCAGTCCAAGGCACGACGGCCCGCGCTCAAAGTTCCGAATGCAGCGGCGGGTTTCGCCGGAAGTGTGGCGGTCTGGGTGCCGAAAAATTGACTTCACAGGGCACCGAACACATTACTCAAGCTTCTGAGTGGCTGGCGTTGATTGCTTCAGTTTTGCTTCCGGAGCTCAGCTCGGTTGCCCGGCTTGCCATGCGGCTGTTGACTTCTTAGAGGCACCTGCTGAAGGGGCGAGGTTTGACCGTGGCAACCGGCATGCTGGTGCCGCTCGAGGAGAACTCCATGCCTTGCAGTTCATCGCTCACAAGTTGGGCCTGGAGCCAGTCGGCATGATATTGAATGGGCCTATTGTATCTTCCTGCTTTCAGCGCAGAAGTGGACCCGCCGAGCACCGTCGGAGCTTTATTCGCGAGCTGGCAGAGGCGGCGTGTGAAGAACGTGTTGATTGTTTTCTTATTGGATGCTTCCTTACATGTTGTGGTCAGGGTTGAGGTTTTTGGATGCACAGCGCGTGGATCTGTCGACACTACCATTAGCGGAGGGTTCACTTTGCTGATGCTGCTGGAGTAAATCTGGCCCATCTGGGTTTGCTTGGAGCTGCTTGATCGCAGCGTCCACTTGCAATAACTAGGCCGCTTCCTTAGCCTCGGTGGCTGCGGTGCTCTCCAAGCTCCACGTTGAATATCCCGAGCAAGATTACCTTTTGGGTAATTCGAAGGGTTCAACGGCAAATTCCCCAGCTTTGTCCCACCTGCGGCGCTGCCTGGATACCGATACATCCCCTGACATTACGCGCATAAGTTCACTTTGCACCTGCAGACTGCAGCTCCAGCTTGGGGTAGAGGTTAGGGCTGCGCATGGACATCGTCGGATTCGCATTTCCTCTAGCTGCGCGGAGAAGTACTGCCGTGACGTGGTGTCAGAGGAGCATCCTGCGCGCCGCGCAGGATGGCTGGGTAGCGCGCGCGGCTTTGGCCCGGGGCAACGTGGAGCGGAGCCCGGCAGAGCTGTTGGTCGGGGCTGCCGATGAGATGCTGGAGGCTAAGATGAAAAAGGCGATGAGCCGGGCGAAGTCACCGGATGTCGCCGATGACCGGGGCCGTGGATGCTGAACCGGTTAAGTGACAAGTTGGGCGGTGCCACCGTCTGGTCCCTGGGCGGCTGCTGGGATTGAGCATGGGTCAGAGCATCTCGGCATGGCCTGCCCGCTGCTGTTGGACAGCACTATGAGGTGGTCCACAGCAGGCCTGGGATGAGCGGTTTCTGCGCATGCCGACGCATTGCCTGCTTTGGATCCTGACGAAGCTGCTGCAGTGGGTATTGCTCTTTGGGAGCTTTTCTGTGCACTTTGGGCGCATATCTGACGGCTGGCACTTTGGGTGCGTTGCGGCACGCCCCCGAATCGGGCTGTGTGTGTGTGTGTGTGCGCTGCGCTTTGGGCGCTGTGTGCTGACATGTGTGTGTGTGTGTGTGACCGCATTGTGATATTGAAACAACATTATGACATCATGTTACGCCAGATTTCGTTGTGCTTATCTGCAGATCCTGATGCGCGAGCAAGCCGAACGCTACGCAGCGCTGGTCCGTGTGACGGTTGTCTGGTTGATTCATGGTGTGCCTGCGGTCGGATCATGACTATAGTTCGCGAGGGTCAACTTCTTGCCAAATCCGAGTTGGTCTTGCTCTGCTCTCCTCCTGTTGCCTCCTTGTCACGTCGGCTTGGCAAACAAAGATGCCGGCGTGTGGCGCAGGCGATTATCAAGCTGGGCTATGATTCCGACGAAGTCTTCTGCCGGGCCTCTGTGGACCAGAGCTCTTTTGAAACATGGCTAGGGAAGTTGCAGATCAAGTAACTAAGTTGGGTGATAAAGATTTCAATGATTTTGACGCATCGGAGTTGGCCACGCATCATGTAACTGCACGGTTGCGTGTGTTTTGGCGCAAATGTCAGCCTGGTCCTGCGCTGACCGCTGGACCTAAAGATGTTGCCTCGGCCAATGCCTTGGTGTCGTTGTCGGGAAGCTAGTTGACGCCCTCCGAGCGGGAAAGAACTTCTTGATATGCAGGATCCAGCTGTGAGGGTGACAAGCCCCCACCATCACAAACGCATGGGCCCTTGTTCCTGTACTCGTAGCGCGGCGCCGGATAGCTCAACATCCCACTCCTCTAGGGGGAGTCAGCCGAACTGCTGCGGCTTTTTCGAGCAGCTGCTCTTCGCTGAATATCCGGCACCAGGGTGTCCACTCTCAAGACTTATGCAAGGACTGCTGCTGGATCGCTTGGAGGAGTAGCTGAGGGCGGGCAAGGCATCGTTGTCACAATCGCCGACGTGTAGTCCTTCTCAAGCTCCAATGGATGGAGGAATTCCCGCAGCTATGCCGCCGACGCCACCTCGGGCAAACGTCACTCCTCGTGGACCTGCAGGAAAACGGGCCTGGTCATTGTATGCGGATCTGCGAACTTAGGCTGAAATCGCGTCCCAAGGCGGTGAAGCCCGTTCCACTTACGCCGCTCCATCGCAAGCCAGAGACCACGCGAAAGCCTTCGGAGTCCCGTGCTCGCGTGAACTCCAAGACGATGCGCAATGGGGAATGCATCGGTCTTGCTTCTTCACCACCTGCGGTGACAAGTCGCATCGTGCGGCGCCCGCACCAAGGTTCCCATTGACTCGCGACACGGCTTGAGCCACATGTCAGCCAGTTGCTTCCAATGCCGGGAAGCGCATGTTGGGTCTGATACTCGGCGTGAACCTGGGCGTGCGCAAATTGAAGATTGTGCATTTCGGCCGACCACAAGCGGACGCCACCAAGATGGCGATTCTAGTAGTAACCACTTCCGCTTGAAAGACGGCGGTGGTGTTTGGTCGGATGCTACTGGATGTGCCTGCGTGAGGAAGACTTGTTGCGAGTATTGAGACGCTCCTGGATGAAGCGAATTTCTGCGTGGAGCTTGGTTCCACCTTTGCTGGCCCGTGTGACCGAAGCTGCGTCGTCCCCTCCTTTCGTGACGATGAGGTCCAGGTTCTTCGGAAGGACTTGGTATCCTTTCTGAGAGAAAGAGCGGGGCGGTGCACTGCTGGTGTTGTAGCAGGTCATACACTTGAGTTGTGGAGTGGGTTGCTGGGTTATGTGCACGATCGTGATACATCGATGCGGGTTTTGCAGAATGGCCACCAGGTGGACTGGCAGAAGCGAAGGCACGGCTTGGTAACAAGTGTGCCGCGGGCAAGCTAGGGCTAGTAAAGAAGGAAGGCTCTGAACCGCGACTGGTGGGCGACAGCACTATCTCTCACGCCAACTTGCTCTGTCACATTATGGAGAAGGTGGAGTGGAGCTCCCCTCGCTGTTTGATGTATCCGACTTTCTGTCCCGGCATCAAGACGCGCAGTGGATTGCCTTTTCATTGGATAAGATCCTCCCGGAAGAGCGCGGATATTCCATAGTTGTCGCGGTCGATCCACAGTGGCGAAAGCACTGGTTTGTATATAATACCGCACGTTTTGGAGCATCGTGGGCTGGCGACTGGTGGGCCCGAGCAGCTGCAGCGTTTGTGCATTGTGCGCAGTGCGCGTGTACTCATTGATGGCAGCCACTTCCTCGTCCAAACCTTCAATGGAACGTGCTGCTAAAGTGACAGCTGCCCATAGCTCCGCACGAAGGTCCCTGATCCGGCTTCCACTCGAGGTCGAAGGACGTGCCAGCGCCAGCGTCGGCTTTTGGGTCACGGCCTCGATCATCCACCGGACGCCTGCCAAACGCAGAGGTGATGACAAGGATCAGCACCATGGCTGCCTCCTGACTGAGAACACGAGCGTAGTTGCTCACCGGATGCATCGCACTGAGATTCCTGCCGAACCCGGCAGGCAATGAGGCAGTCGCGGATTGCAGGCCGGCTGCCCAAGCCACTCTGCATCTCGAGAGCGTACCCGTAAGCCGAAGATCCCTCAGCCTTTTCCTTCTTTTGTTATCCTCCGTTTTTTTCTCTTTTTGTTCTTGGCGGTCCGCAGCCTCCTTGAGGGATGCTCCTTTGTCTTGAGCGGGCTCCTTCTCAAGCTGGGCCAGGCCTCAGTGCTTGACCTCCTTCAAAGTCGGGAACAGCTAGGCTTCATGAAATCCCAACCCTTTAGCTCGCGCTGTGGTGCGATCGCTCAGTCTATCGAGGACACTTCCCTGCCTGCAATGGCTGGTATCATAAACTGCCTGGAGCAGCGTGGAGTTTTATCGGGGCATCGCCTGCTCGAGCTGGAAGGCTCGAGCCAAAACTTTTTCAGACTTTAACCCATGATTCCGTGAAAAGCGCGTGGTTCACTCCTCTGCGGTGCGCTGTGCATGCATGTATGTCAGTGCAGCGTGCTTATGCATGCCGTGCAAATGCGCCCCCCTGGTGCGCCTCGCTGGTCTCCGGGCTGATGAAGCTGCGCTTCAAACTGCAAGAAGGAACGAGAGAACAGCAAAGCAGAGAAGCCGCCCAGGCCGAATCTTGAGGGCTTTTCGGGTTTATGTTTCGGGTCACACACTGCTGTAAAGCACTTCATCCCCCATGAGGTTTTGTCTCGCGGATCTGCGGCTCGAAAGTCCCCTGAAAAGAATCTGTGCGGGAGGCACTGCATCGCAGCTCGGTTGGCACTGACCGCTGCGCGGGCCTCAGCATGCGAGACCCCGTTTTACGTCCTTAACTCTCTGGCCTCAGGCCCCATATGGTCTTTCGGATCTCTTCTGCAACACCGACACTCCGAGCTGTCGACGGCATTGAGAGGCGCACTGACTCTGCGAAGCATCTTAGCAAGTTCAGACGGCTGTTGGGATGTCCCGTGAATTCTCTATGCACTGCTTCACATGTGATTTCGAGGCCGGTGCCCGCGGCACGTCCGAGACCTCTAAGCTCCTGCGCATTCGAGATCTGGTTAAAAGCGTGTTGGACTCTGCATTCCCCCCCTTGATGGGCCCGTGGTGGGCCCGCGGTGCTCCTGTGCTCCTTCATCTCCTGGGGCCAGGGCTCGCAGCTCTAATTCACTAGGGACGCCGCGAGCCGCGCCTGCGGACTTCTGTTATCTCTCCCTCCTGGCACAGTGGTGCGGGCTTTAGTGCCTTGCTGAGGCTTCTCGCTGAACAGTCGTCCCAGTCCATTGAAATGCGCTTTTTCGTGCTGTGACTACGGGCAGCATATCGACTGCCGCAAAGCGAAGTTCCGACAAATGTCGGAGCTCGAACTCCTGTGAGCAATGCGTAGAATACGCCGTTGGTTTCAGCAAAAGCTGCTGTGCTTTACGTGTCGCCTGTGGATGTTACAAACCGAAACCCTGCACCGTCCAGACTTCTCCCCGGAAGGCTGTTCCAGTGTTTTCATTCGACAGCACGAGGAGCCGGGTCTTCCACAGTGCTTCTGCGAGCCGTTTTGTACGTTGGTACATGCAGCACGGGTCGATTGATCGCACGGCATGACCAGCAAAGCCGAAGCTATAGAGTCTACAGGAGAAATGCAGGACGAGGAACTGGAAAGGAACGGCGCTGATTTTGCGGAAAAAGGTGACACGAGAAGATGCAGAAACCTGCTAGGGCCGCAGTGATGACCGAAAAACTGAATGCTTTTCTGGGCCTCCTCACGGTGCACTTAGGACAATGCTTCGCATAAGCCTCTTGGCTTTGTGCTCGCAGGTAGCGGCTGGCGAGCGCATGTGCGTGCGCTCCGTTTTGCGGACGGGCTCCACATGCAAAACATAAACATCGCATGTCAGTTCCTGGACGCTTGGATATGCTAGGCTCGCGAACATGCACACAAACTTATGGAACCTGCACAAGCGTTCAGCCGAAGCTATGAACAGTCGCCCACAGGCAGAAGATGGTCCTAATCAAGACGGCGAAATCTCTTGCACCGGCCTAGCGAGGCTGACGACCGCTGGGCGCCCATCCTGGCGAGGTGACAGAACGACGCAACTTTAAACTGCCCTTATCTGCCCTTCGGCCTGGCCTGCTGTCACGACGGATCTCCTGCAGGAGCTCCTCAGGCTAGGCCCATCGGGGGAAACTCTGCGAAGCTTTGCAATTCGACAAATCAGAAAAAAAAAACTCTGCGAAGCTTAGCAATACAAGCAGACAAGACTGGGCACTTACACGCTTCCGGCATGTGGATGTGGGCTGCATGGCGTTGCCGCACGCTTAGCGTCACGAGACGCGATATCAGGCTGCATTTAGCAGAGGAGATGAGGACGACAGAAGAGACGGCAAGTCGCAGCAGCTCGCAGTGCAGCTCTCCAAGCTCGGCCCTTGGGCGCGAGCCAACACAGGGATCAAAGCCTGACAGTGTCAGAGCAAAAGAGCACATAACTCGCAAGACTGACCGGGTCAGTCCGGTGGCAGCATTTCGGCTCTGCATCATGAGCCCTCATGGCCCGTGTCGTGCCCTTGACGCCTTTGCGTAGGAGAAAAGATAGCGCACAAATGTTCCGTAGAGCATTGCTCTCGGAGCATTGAGACCACTGGTCTGGCTGGGAGCATCCCAGGTCCAAAAGCACAAAATGGTACGAGGGCAAAGCCCCTTTACTAGCTCTGGTGACTCTGGTGGCTATGGGTCGGGGGAGAAGGGGAGGTCTGGGGGCCTATACAAGGGCCCGCTTCGCCCTCCTAGCCTCTCCTCTCAGACTCTCAAACCTCGACGTTCGTCGTTGCCTTCCAGGCCTCGGCTTCTCGGCTTGCCAGCGAAAGCACACGTCGCTCGCGTCGCTCGCATCGCTCGCACTGCCGAGGCGCTGTTTGATCGATTCGCTTCATCATGGCCTTGATCTGCTTCATGGGGCCAACCTCATAGAACCTCAAATGGTCGGAACGGCCCAGAAAACCGCAGCACCTCTCTCCCTCCAGATCGCTCCAGGCAGCTCGTTCACACCCTCCTTGAGGATTGCCTTCATGGAATCGTCCCAGAGGACAGGGTTCGTCAGCTGCCTGTCACAATGAGGCCAGGGCCCTGCGGCCAAAGGGATATGCCGCCCAAAAAGGCGCCGGGCCCCGCCGGGCCCCGGCTGCCTCTTCAACAAAGCCACGATCTCCTTTGGATCCGTGCCAGGACGAATGGGCTGTGCCGAAGCATTCATCCACACCTCATGTGCAGGCAGCAACCCCAAAGGTCAAAAAGCACGCATGCAAGCCGCGAGCCAAGCTGCTGTGTGCATGGGGGGCTTCATGTTCGGGAGCGTCTCTTCCAAAGCTGCAGAAAGCTTGTCCTGACAGGCCACTGACTACGAACCGGTCTTCTAGAGGCACGCAGTACAGCATCGGCATTGGCAAATACAGTACTATGGCAATTATGGCACATTCGCATCGGGGCCGTGCGGTCAGAGGTTTAAACAAAAACTCTCTGTTTCCCCACCTCAATGGGGCCCACGAACCCCCCAAAACAAAAAACCTGTTGGATTTCTGGTTGGCAAGCCCTACGTCGAGACATTCTGCTGGCGGCTTGCCGGGAGCCCGCCCCCGCTTCAAAGAAATCAAAAATGTGCATGGCTCTTCCTTGCGGCGAGGCAAGATAGGCTAGCGTACATCATTCGTGAAGCTGATGCCACCGCCTGGCAATTCTGTGGCTGTGTCTTGTACTTCGTTGCAAAGCTTGATTCACCTTCCAACACATGGGAGGTTGTATACGAGACCAATGAGAAGTGTGATACGTTATCACAGTAACGTCTATGGGATAATGCTGGGAATGTGCCGCGTGGGATTATTGCTCAGAGCCTCAGCATCACAACAAATACTGACATTAAAAAAATAGCAAACGTGCTCATTCACGCAATACCTCACCCGTGTGACCTACCCGTTGCTTTCCGAACCAATGCACCTGCTTCAAGTACAGCCGGGCCGAGGCGGACGACGCGCCGCGTTTAAACAAAAAACCTGACTTATGTGCTGTTGCAGCAGCTCAAGCCAGAGGAACAGCTGGTAATGAACGATCCCGTTCCAATGCACACAAGGACAACGAAGCTATATATATATATATATGTGCAAAAGAACTGCGGAGTGGACAAGACGAGCAAGACAAAGCCAAGAGGCCAAGCCCGCATGACACCCTGACAAAAGGCCTGTAGGGCACACTCCCAGTCCTGGGCAGGCTGCATCAAGGAAGTGTGGAATGCGCCAGCGGTCTTCAGCACCTTCGCCTCGAGAAACTCCGGATCAGAGCCAACTTCCTTAAAGAGCCCCCGTTGTTCTGGCCTGAAGTGCCCCATTCTTCTCTGCAAGCTCCTTCAGCGTATTTATGGCCTTGGTGCCGCCACATTCGAAGCTTTCTCTCGTCGCGACTCCCACTGTAGCCGTGCCTTCTCTGTACCGCCGATCGAGAAGCCCTGGGGGAAGAGGCAGTTTGCCACAGAGCACACCCCGCCGTCCTGCCGGTCCGACATTGCTTGCCAGTAGGTACATTTTACAACTTTACACGAAAGAGGAGGCAACCCTCTGCCTCTTTGGAAGCGGCTTCACGGCAGAGCGGATCCAGCTTGGCACGTTCCAGCCCAGCGACGGACAGCATCAGTTGCTTCTTTGATCCGGACCTCGTTCCGACTCAAGGAAGAAGCCGCGCTCATTGTTAGGGCCTATGTAGGGCTCACACGCCGCCGCCTCCTGCATGGCCTCTCCTCGAAGCTTCACCAGCTTGAGGCCATCTTCGAAGGACATCACCCCCGCAGCACACAGAGCCGTGTACTCACCTGAGGCACAGGCAGACGGAGATGAAGGGAAGGAAGAGGAGGCTCCAGCCCAGAGCAAGGGAGAGGGAGAGAACAAAGGGGTAAGACGGAAGGCAGAGGAAACAGGGAGAAGTCGTGCCTAGCGAGAGGCCGGCCATCACTGATGCTCGTGACACTGCCTGCCCAAGAAGACAAGCGCAAGTTTTCTCTTCGAAAACGAGCGCCTTTCGCCTTTCGCCTCCAGCTTTGGTTAGCCCGGCCTCGGGTTTGTCTTGCTTCAGCTTCTCGAGGCCGGCGAGGCCACCAAGGAACATGGCAGGTTGACAATAGCGTGTTTCCTCCAGCTTGTCCTCAGGGCCATTGAGGCAAATCTCTAGGATGTCGTAGCCGAGGATTGGCTTCGACTTCTCGATCATCTCCTTGACTGTGGCAATGTCCATGACCTTCTCCATCATCTTCACCTTAGCAGCTATAGCAGGTGCAGGCGAGGATCCCTCGGCCAGCGTGGGCCCGTGCAGAGTCTGGCAGGCAAGCCGCATACTGCGATCCCTGCCCTGGGAAGAAGAGGCCAATGGGCAGGGGTGCCTTGCACAAACGAAAATGTGGCAGCACTGTTGGCCTTCGGCAGAGAGCAGAAACAAAGTCCTCGAGATGCCTCCCCTTTCGGGCCCACGGATGTGGGAGGAGGGCTTGGAGCTTTGTCTGTCTTCACGGCCAGATCTTTGTCCTTCAATTTGGTGCTCACCTCAGATTCAGCCGACAGTCATAGAGGCCACGCAACCAACAGCCTACCAGAACTCTGCTGGGCCAGGCGGCCCAGCCATCTTGCGGGCCTGTGCCCAAAACCAGCTTGTAGTGCAGGCGGTCGCCCTTCAGCTCGACCTCTTCTACAAGTGCACCGGTGGAGAGGCGATCGTCCAGCTGGTTGGACTTGGTGTTTTCACCATCCCTGCAGGCTCTCTTCCAGGGGTCTGCAAGCGCATGACAGCAACTTGTCAGAGCCCTTGGGCCTGACGATGATACCACCTTTGTCCGCGCCACCTACGATCTCCCACATCTGCACCATGCTGCCACACAGGCCTGCGCTGCCTGGCCCTCTCACACCCCCTTAGTTACCAAAACCCTTGCTGAGCCAGCAGCGGAGCATGGGCGGAGCATAGCGGAGCGGTGTTCCAGCTTGAATGGCTGCCCGTTTTGGGTCGTGTCAGGGGGTCGGCCTTGTCGAAATTTGCCGGAAGCTCCTCCCGCAGGGCCTGGGATGCCAGCAAAATACTGTGTACTGTGAACCCTCCCGCAAAAAGCCCATTTCTCGACTCTATCAAAGCCCTCTCAGCGCGAGGCCAGAAAGAGTTTGCGCACCTCCTCAGCCACAGCTTCCTGTGCCTGAAAGGATGCGTTTCGAAACCTTTCTCACTGCTGAGCTTCTGGGTGCAGCCGTCGCCTCCAGGACGGCGCTCCGGAGGATCGCCGAAACGTCGGAGGGCCGCTCCTCAACGCAACAGCGGTCGATTCAACAGCCCATGGCTCCCCGAACTTCCCGAACCTCCGACTCCAAGGCCATGCTCTTCTCCTTCCTCGGGAGCTAAGCAGACAACCCTCAGACTGCAAGGTACTGCAAGGTACTGCAAGGTACTGCAAGGTACTGCAAGGTACTGCACGCTGCAACGCTTCAAACAGCTCTTAGCCTGCCTGCGGTCGTGTCACGTAGGTGCTGCGATCACGCTCTGTCTCTGCACATGCAGGCGCCATGTCGCATGGCGCAGTTATATTTATGCTGCAGTTGATGACGGTCCATGTTGACTTGATGGATGCTGCTCAGCTGGAGAATGAGAGGATCCCCAGAATCTGATTTGTAGCCTTTGTTTTCACCAGCATCTGGCTATAAACTCACTTGCGAGAAGCAGCACACAGACAGAGATTAAAGCCGAGTGTATTGCCGGCAGAGCTTGGATCAACCTGCATCTTTTTGCTCAGCGGAAGTCTGGCAGTGCGGTACCCTAAGCCCCTCACCAGAAAGTGCGGCCACAGTTGACGTGGCAGCTTCGCTGCTCCAATCCTTGGCCCTCACAGGCCCTGCCCTCAAGCAGCGAAGGCTTTTCTCCCGAGGCGGCCCTGCGTTGCACGGAGCGGCTTCGGGTCTCCTGGCCTTTTCCACACGGAGGGGTGGAGGCAACGCACTTCGACCAATCCGCCCAGTCGTTCCATTCGCAATCCACCGCACAGGCGGGGCAGCGACCAGCTTCCACCGCACGGGCCTGACAGTCCTTTCCAGCTCCATGCCTCAGTACCGATGTCGGCAGAAAGATGGGCTCGTCTCGCGTGTCTGGACCCCGGTACTGCAAGGGAACCTGCATGCGCATGACCGCCGACGCCGAGGCGGGTTTCTCGGCCTCGAGAATCAGGGAATGAGCGCCCTTTGCGAGGTAGCGGACCCACGCCGGCGTCGCTTTGTCCGTAGCGTTGCGTGTGGCCCGCAAGGCCGCCCCGACTTGCAGGCTCCTCAGCGGCTCCGCCGCTTGGAAGGTGTAGCGCCCCGGACTTTTCACGAGCAGCTCCCCCGAAAAGCGAGTGATGGCTTCTGGAAGCTGCTCCTCAAGAAGTCCGAAAGCATCCCGAGTTCGAAGACGCCGACCACCGCAGCTGCAAACACTCCAGGAGCTCCAGGGAGCCAAGCCACAGCCATCGAGATCGACGAGATCGAGATCCTCAGACTCTGCCAAGGAGTCAAAGAGCGGTCGCCGGAGGGTTGTGGAAGCCGAAACGCTTTGCTTTGGGACGACCTTCACACTTTGGACCGGCTCCCTGTGTGAGCGCATCAGGGGCTTCGGCGACGTGAGAGGCGCCTCAGCGGCCTCCGCTCTCCGCATCACCCCCGCGGACTGCACAGACTGCGACTCCGCAGAGACGGGAGGAAAGAGGAGGAAAAGCAGCGGAAGCAGCGGGAGTGAACTTGAACCCGCCATCACGAAGAGGATCTCAAACAACTCCGAAGATCGAGGGCCCTTCTAAGTCACGGGCCCAGAGCTTCGAGCCGAGGGTGTGCGGAGCTCAAGGCTTGCACAACTTGCACATACGCCGCGCGACTGCGAGTGAAGCCTCTAACCGAGCTTTGCAGAAGGCCGCTGTGCTTTTGACGCATCCCGATGTAATGCTCAGCAGGAGCGCCGAACATGGAACTACTACTGTCGGCCACTATGCAAGAGCTTGGTCAAATAGAAGCGCGTCAGGACCCAGACCAAGCACCTGCAACGATTCTGCAGAAGCACAGCACTGGGACTTCGAGCCTGGGAGCCCAACCCAACATATAGGGTGAGCAGCAGGCATCCGACCCAGCGCTGTCGACCCAGCCTTCAGAACTTCAACCGACTGCCAAGCCCAAGGCTTTGCAGGGAATCGAAGGACCCGCACCAGAGCAGCACCACCAGGTGCATCACCTGCGCGCCCTGGCACGGCACGGAGAGCAGAGCGGCCGAGAATGGCCGAGCGGAGGGCGGACCAGCAGAATCGCAAGGTACTCGAAGGACTCCAGTGCCTGGCCCTGCGCCTCTCAGTGCTTCGAAGTGAGGAGAGAACTGAGACTTCTGAGAGAACTGTTCGGCTTCGGCCTGGGGTGACAGGGTCAAGGCCAGGAGGAGCGCCAAGGAGCCGGCCGGGAGCTTCGGGTCCTGTGTGCGACTTCTCACAGGCCCATAAGACTCGCCCCAAGTGCCCAAGTCTCGTAACTACAACTACGCTTCAGGGTGTTGGCACCCAACATTACCCTTCACTCGATGGCTGCTGTACAGCTGTTGTCGGCCCGTCCCTCAACCAACACCTCCAAGTCACGAGCCGGTGTACGTTCGAAACTGTGACTTCGGCCATCCTATACCAAGATAGTTGTGCTTTGCTCCTGGCAGTGAATGCCTACAGATGGCCCGGGCCAAGAGAACAAGGTCAGATTTCGTCAATCTGGCTGTGCAAGCAGCGCACGCCTCGGCTTCGGCTGCTTCTGCTTCGGCATCTGAGCCTAGGCAGATGACCGAGGCGGACAAAGAGACGAGCGGAGCTGCGGAGCCTTCTGCATGCGAGGTACCTTTCTTCGCGCCCAGGGCCAGGGCCAACGCCTCCAAGATGCCAGGAATCCGGAGTCCACATGCAAGGACCTCGGATCCGAGCGCTCCAGACCCGCTGGCCCCGCTGCCGCTTTCTCAGGCACCCGGGCAACGAAGCCCATGATGTCAGGCGTTGCGCCCGCCACGCAGGAAAGGCCTCAGTCGGACTTTACACACCTCAACCACTTAATTATCCGGAACTTAGCCACGTGCGGCCCGTGCAGTCGAACAGGAGGTACAGCACAACCAGGGCACAACAGGTCTCTGCGACCTGACGGACCTGTCGCGTCTGGTGATTAAACCGCTGCGTCGCGACCTTGAAAGAATCTTGCCAAAGTGGCCATGGAAGTCGCGTGCCGGCGCCTGCAGGAAAACCGCACAAGATAAGAAAGTGCCTTCCACGATCTCAGACTCTTAAACGCTAGGCTGCAGGCCCGTCTTTCCATCGTCCTTTCCTCCACAACTCCTCTGCACAGTGACAATTTTCCAATTCCGTGACCGATCTCTCTGCACAAGCTCCTGGCATCCAAGCGAACCGGCCGCCATGGACGGTTCTACCTACTCAGATTCCGACAAACACCGCCCCAAAGCCGGAAAAAAAAATCTGCCTCTCTCGCTGGGGCGTCCCACCGGAAGCGCGTTGGCCTCGTGTGACAGGAGCGCCACAACGTCTCATTTCATCCGTCACGGCCAGTCCTGCTCGGCCGAATGGGCCAAGCATGACCTTCCTCTGCAACCTGAAGAAATGCTGTTCTGTCATGTTCAACCGTCGCATTGACAATCCGGCCGCGCCTCAACTGACAGACCGTCTCCGTCGTCGCCATGCCAAGCCGCAGGTGCAGCCACTCGCAGCCTCGAAACAACTTACAAAGAAAAAGGGGCAAAGTCCGTAGTTCGTCCACTGTTTCGGTCCTCTGGCTGAAATTGCTCGCACAGAGGACATAGGTGCCATAGGTCAACACAGGAAGAAACCACGGCACCTGCAAGATCAACTGGTGGCGTCAACCATCAAGCGCGTTTTGTCGTCAAGGCAACGACAAGAGAAAGCAACCCTCCTTCCACCATGTACTTTGTCGGCTACTCCGCAGAGATACATCCGTGAGGATGTAGCCAATTTGGGCAACGGCCAACATCTGGAAGGCCTCGTGCTAGCCATAACCCACAAGTCGTCACAAAGTCACAGAATCAGCCGAGCCCGGCGCAACATCTGACATGGCGGAGTGCATCCTGTGGTGAATGTGATGTATGGAGCGGCCACGTGCGAAGACCACGGCCTTCGCCCCGCCACAAGCAAACCAAGGTAGTGAGAAAGAATGCGAGAGTTCGAGACAGAGAGAAACAAAAATGAAAAAAGCAAACAGAGAAAAGGAGGTAGGGAGGAACAGAGAGGGAGAGAGAGCGAGAGAGAGAGAGAGCGACAAGAAAGCAACAAAGAAAGAATGAAAAAATGAAACAACCACAAAAGGGAGAGCGAGAGCACATCACTTCATGTGTACAATATCTAAACCTGGTCCCCTCCCTGTATCCATATCCATCTTCAGTGAGTGCCTGCGTAGAATGTGCGAGTGAACGACTGACTGAGCGGAGTGACTGGAATAGTGACGACCGGACAAACCAACTGACTGACTGACGGACTTACGGACTGGCTGACTGATTGAGTGCGGGGGCGGGTGAGCGAGTTGTTGACATGCATTGATCTAGCAGGGCGGAGTTGAAACCGCTTGGCTTCACATGTCGTCGAAGTCGCATCCAACAAGGCCTGACCTACTTGTTCCTCTACTCGCCATTCGCCATCTGACTGTGCAGATTCTCTCTCCCCTCCTGCTCGGAGTGGACCTCACCGTCACGGACCTGCCCGAGGCGCATCGAGCACCGACGCCGCACATCAAATCGAAGGTGGCAGACCCGACCTCGGCAAAATGCGAAATGCGCGGGAGCCCGGCTGTGGGGACTTGGGAGTCACAGAGTTTCGAGTTTCGGTGCACGTTAACGTGATTTCTGGCCTTTGAAGCTCTTGGGCGGAGAGGCATGTCTGAGGGGGCGGAAAGGAAGCTGTCGTACATCAGTGGGTGCATGCCGTGCGTTGCAAGATTGTGTAAGTGAGGTAAACGCACGCAAAAGCGCACAAGTACATGTGTGCATATGCACATGCGTACATGGGTAGTTCTTTAAATTAGGGTCCCTTTGTAGGTCCCCAATATACGGCATCCTAAAAGGGACCCTAATTTGGAAAACTCTTTTTTCACTTTCAGTGGCAATGGATCCGTGTCGGGCGCAGCCTAGACGATGCACTAATTAACATGTGAAACTGCTGACAAATGAATGTGGACTGGGAAAAAGTTGGACAAGCCAGTAACCTCTCTGTACGCAGAAAGAACCGGAGCAGCACGTTTGACAGCTGCTACTCCCGGGCAATCAACGGTAGGGGTCACAAGGAAAGCGGGAGCACCCCACAGCTTTAGAGAACTACCCATATACACACGTGCATACTTACCGACCGACCTACCTACATACACAGTTACATACTGACACACTGTGACATACTAACATGCTGATATATTTACATCCTTACATCGTTACATCTTTACACACTTACATACTTACATACTTTGACACACTTACACGGCGTTGCATAGACATGCTCATCAACACACTGTTCCCTTCGCTGCATGCACGGACAGTGCACACATGGTATGTGAGCATCCAGCAATGATGCACTGGATGATTCAAGGCTGCCAGAACAGGTTGTGTGTCTGTATCAGCTTGCGTTGAAACGAAGTCTCTTTCTCTGAGCTTCCAACCGCGGCTGCTAGGCCATCCACATCCAGGACCAGGCTGGCGAGTGAGCCTGCAAAAACGGCCGCCAGGCCGGGCGCTGCAAAGGGAAGTAGCTTGCACAGCATGCACAGCATCCACTCTCACTTGACTTGGAATCCCGCAAAGGAGCAGAGGCGCAGCATCAGCCTCAAAAAATACCGAATCTGCATCAGTGAGATCTCACATCCTGGTGGTACCTCACAAAACCTCCGGCTCGTTCATCCATGTCTTAGTTTCACGCAACGAAATAGCAGTCCTGGCATCCGCTGGGTCATCATCATCATCATCATCATCATCATCTGGCTTGAGTTTCAGTGTTTTGCCCAAACTTGAAGCCATGCTGAGGACCTATCCAATCCCCTTCCGTGGACGGAGATCGCTTTCAATCAGTTAGTTCGCACAAAACTGAAGCCTTTTTTGAATGTGATTCTTCAAGTCATCGCTTCACTGCTGCGCTTCGTGCGCCCAGAAGGGCTGACAAGCCCCTGCGGATTTCGTGGCAGTGGCGGCTTGAAAAAATCCTTTCTTCCCGACTCTTCTCAATCCACTTGCCCCTGACAGCTCGGATCGCGCGTCAATGACAGCAGTACCAACCTTTACTACACGTCGCTCTTAAGGATTTGGGCGCTGAGCATGTCACAACTGCCGAACTTGTTGAGTCAGACAAAACAAGCAAAGTAGACCACTGGAAGACACTGGCAAACAGTGCTTGTTTGAAGATCACGCACAGATTGGGTTGCAAACATGGGTTTTCGGTTGGGAGGAATGAGCTTTTATCGTCGGAGTCTGCTCCCTCTGGTGCTTGCATTTCTTCGTAACCTTTGTACGGAGCCGTTCCCAGAGCGACTCCCCACAAACCAGCTCTCGAAAAATGGGGACTCGGCGTGGGAGCCATATGAGCCTCAATACACAAAGGTGGCTGTTTTTGCACTGCCTGAACCTATTCGGCTCACCTTAGGACCGAGTAGGCGAGCGGAGGTTCGCCTAGCATTTAGCCGCAGATCTTGATGCTCTCTCTGGTGACAGTGACTGCCTGGCAGCCCGGGGCGCGTGCCGCAGCGAGCACTGTCACTCGCGCCAATTCCGGTGAAAGCCTCGGGTGCCGAACGGTGGTGAGTCCCAAAGGCGAGGCCCTGTGCTGAGTCTCAGACTCTTTTGCCGCGAGATCTGAGCACCTCAAAAAAGTGGGGCCCATGATCCCGTGACGGTGCCAGCGATGCGGAACTCAAACACTGAGCTGAACGGCTCCAGATGACTCTCTTTCGCGCAGTCACGAAGGGAATGTCTTTGTGTCGTCTCCCCGTCTTGGGCCCCTCGCTCTCGGCACAGCTTCAGCCGGGCCAGGAGGCCGAAGCAACAGAGCACCAGCACCACCCAGGCCTCAGCTGCTCCGGTCCGGTAGCCCGCCCGCCCTGATCGAGCAGGAAGCACCAGAAAACCGTAGGTATCCAGATTGGAGTCGCAGCCCTGAGGGGCGAAAGAACGAAGAGATTGGCTACACTGCGGCTCCACTTTATGCGCCTTTCCCAGGAGCAGTGACAGCAGGCTTGCCATGGCGTCCCCCGTCCATTTTCGAAACTTGGGAGCCCGTTCTTTGGAGCCCCCCCCGCGGCCCGAGGCTGTGCCAGGCCGCGCTCCTGAGCCTGAGGTCCCTTACAAAAAGGACAACAGAGCAAAACATTCGAGGCTTTGCGCTCCGGACCAGAGCGTTTTGGGACAAACACAGCTTCGAGCGCACACGTCGAAGATCACTTTGATGCTGCCGCTTCCAAGAACTCCAGGAGGAGGGGCTAAGCGGATTCAAAGATCGGATTTATAGACCGGACTTATAGGTCACTTTTGGGTCATTTCGTGGGTCAGCCGCAGATGAAAATAGTGTTTTGACTAATCCATCACTGTTTCGTCGACATTCGCGCAATAAACACATGGTTTTTTTGAACACAGGATCGTTTTGATTGGCATCCACCTGAACCCTTTTAAGTCATTTTTCTATACTCCAGTTGTTTTAGAGCATTCATGCGCGATCTGCAAGGATCCTTCAAAGCATGCGTTCGTTCCGGGCTCCTGCAGATAATGCATGCATGCTATGGCTGTATATGCAAGGACATCTATTATGTGCCCTGGGGTCGATGAACTTTGTATATTTTGTAAATTTAATGAACTATGTGTATAAAGATAGAAAAAAAAGAAAGCATTTATTTACTATACTACATGTAACTTATATATATATATATATGTATATGCAAACACTTCTCCTTTCATGCATGATGCTGCTGGTCATGTGCGTCAGCCGTGCCATGGCTGTGGGCTTAACATCACGGATTGCACATGGTGGGTGTGTGCGTGTATATATGTATATAGAGCAAAACCATTCCTTTGTATTCTTTAGGGCTTATAACCGTTTGCAGACTGCATGCATGATACAAGCATTTAGGGTTTGTAGAGGCGTTCTACGCCATGGTTTAGAGTGGGTTAAGTTCAGGTCCAGGTTTGCACGGTTTGGGTTGGGAGTTTGGGGGTTGAGGTTTAGGACAGTTTTTTATTCCATCCTAGAAAACGCTTGCGAATATCTCAAAAGAATAACATATTCAAAATCAATCAATCCTATAATCAAAGCAATATCATTCGAACTCAGATGCACTTCTTTTCACCAAGTGGGAAAAGTTCCGGCACGCTGTAGGTCAAACGATCGGGTTAGGCAAACTTCAACTAGGAAGCCACCTTTCCCAGAGGGTGGGCAGGGTGGGAAAAAGAATTTCTCGCCTATCACCTCGAAAGGGAAAAAGGCTGCAGCGGCCGAGAAATTCAATCACCACACCTACCAAAGGAATATCTCAGCAAGCTACTTTTCTCACAGGAAAATTTTTCAAATTGGATAGAACAAAGGAACATCCCCTCGTCGAGTGTCTTAACGGGGAGTGTGTACTTATTCCATCCTAGAAAACGCTTGCGAATATCTCAAGAGCAAAACATATTCTTATTTCTGTTATGTGTACCTCGCGAAAAGTTTCTGCGTAAACAGACAAACGATTGATATTCTCTAGTGAAGATCAAAACGAATATCAATCAAATCAAACGTATTGCATCGCCTGGTATTTGGCGCTTGGCACCAAAGGTTAAATCAAGCACAATATATTTCGATATATGAAGTGTAATCAATTCAATCCAGAACTCAACGATCGGCTCAACACTCGGTCATGAGGGCCACTCTTTTTACACTAGACGCGGGGCGACTTCGTGTCAGATTGAGAAGTGTGCCACAGCACACTGCTTTGCATGCCGCTGCATTTGGTAGCAATAAGCATGAAGTCGACATGCTTTGCTCATTCACCCCCGCAGGGTTCTTTCTTTCTTTCTTTCGGGCTCCACAACGGTGCGTCGTGTGAGAAGGACTTCACTCTTCTCTGAAGAGCGGCCACTCGTGGTGGCAAACTAGAGCGCTGTGTGTGGCACTCTTTGTTCCGCAAGCGAAAAACATGTATTTACATGTTGCCCCAAAATGAAAAGCCCCTTGCACACTGCTAATGCATGCGAGCTAAAAAGACCGCGTAAACATCGCCAGAAACACTACGATAGTCATTAAGTAACACAGCTCGAGCATTATCGTCGCAGTAATGCAGCTTTCCCGTGTCTGCGTTGTACAAAAGAGCTCTGTAGTGACCAGACGTGACACTATCGCCTAAGTGCACAGCGAAAGCACAAACTCGATACCGGACATGTTGAACATTCAAGCCCTCGGTAAACTCAGGAAGTAAGAGCTCCGTGCACCAACTCAGAGCCGCCCTCACTTTGCTGAGCTGTCCTGTCGGCGTCTGTTGTTGAAATCTGTTAAACCGCATTGCAAGCCATTGGGGCACCGACACCAAAGCATGAGGAAAAGCCTGATGATGCCACGCATTTATCGCTGCCTGCAGGTGCCATGGGCCAGAGATGGGAACATCCAGCAGTATCATCTGCTCGCACACGCCAGTAACAGGAGTTTGCAGGCGTCCAGCCTGAAAAACCCTAGCATTCCCTATACCATGAAATGGCGAAGCCCCGAACCTGCACATCAGATGAGAAAAGAACTCACAGCTATCATGCTGTCGCCCGCCATGCGTCCATCCGCACATCATGGCGTTCCAAGGAAAAAGCTGCATGACATTGAAGGCCTTGCACTGCACCAAAATGGTGCGCCAAGCGGTTTGCCCCATGCCCAAGCTGTTCACCTGAAGACCGCTGCAAGCTAACATCCAAGTAAGAATGTGTACCAAGGCATTGACGTAACATGTGTTACCAGTATTACGCAAACGTAGGGCCAGCGCTGCTTGTAGAGTAGTCCCTCCAGATGCTTTGCCAGGCCGTGTCGACGCTTGCGCTCCTGCCGCAACCTGCTGCCCAGGAGCTTGAGGACCATGTTGTCGCACAGCAGGGACAAGTTGCGATGCAGCCGCTCGCCCGCATTTCGAAGGGACACCTGGATCGTGAAGCAGACTTCCTTGTTCTCCGCCGTCATGTTCGCATCCGCTTGTAATGTCTGCGAGGCGTGAAACTTGTGCAACACTCCCTGCTCCTTGATGTCCGCCAGTATCTCGATGATGGTGTTCTCGATGGTACCCCCGCAGGGTTGGGTGGGTGGGTCTAAATTTTCTCCTGCAAGGAGCCCAACTGTGGAACGGCAGAGGAATGAATCAACATGTTTGCCATGTCAGAAACATGTTGCAATCAGAACGTTGTTCAGTTGTTGTTGTTTCTCTGTTTTTGAAAAGCGTTCCGCAAAGAACCTGGAAACGCAGTTTCCAGGAAATTGGGAACACATTTCCAGAAATAAAGACCCGTCCATCGCGATGGAAGGTTGTCTTATTTCTGTTACGTGTACCTCGCGAAAAGTTTCGTCATAAACAGATAAGCGGTTGATATTCTCTAGTGAAGATCAAAATGAATATCAATCAAATCAAACGTATTGCAGTCGCCTGGTATTTGGCGCTTGGCACCAAAGGTTAAATCAAGCACAATATATTTCGATATATGAAGTGTAATCAATTCAATCCAGAACTCAACGATCGGCTCAACACTCGGTCATGAGGGCCACTCTTTTTACACTAGACGCGGGGCGAATTCGTGTCAGATTGAGAAGTGTGCCACAGCACACTGCTTTGCATGCCGATGCATTGGTAGCAATAAGCATGAAGTCGACATGCTTTGCTCATTCAGCCCCACGTCTCAAAGCAAGCTCGACCATCTCATCAAGACATGCCTCGAAACGCTTGCCAAGTGCTGAGCAACTCTCACGCCTTGACGGTGCGTCTGCTACGTTAGAGCACGTGTTGACGCGCTCGAACCAAACATTAACGAAGATGTCGTCACACAGCTCGTGAGTGCTCCCCACGATTGCAGCACGAGGGTCACAAGCATGGTTTGAGATACCGCGGACCATGCAGGCCAGAGCACCTTCATTGTCAGTGAAGACGACAACATTCGTCTCGCAAGCAAGATTTCTCCACCAAGCGCATTTCTACAAAGATCGCCAGGCACTCGTATTCAAAGATCGGGTTTCCACGGCTGACCTTTGAAATCACACTGGTTGATGCGAACTCGCTGAAGTGACCCAGTTGTTCATTAATCAGCACACCTCCCAAACCAACCTTGTCGCCTTCACAGGAGGCGTCCACGTAGATGTGCAGTGTTTTCAGCGTGTTGGCGCTGATGCAACGTGGTGCCCCGAAGTTTACTCTATCTCGGAGAGTAAGCAGTGCTTCTTTCGTGGAGTCGTCAAGCTCTCCCCCGCCGGCGCAGACGAACTTAGTGAGTTGTCTGTAGGCCATGCCAGCGGCCTTCCCCGCAACCTGGGACTCAGCAAACTGTAGCCGGCCTTGCAGCCGCTCACCATCCTTGCGTCCAAGCGTATTTTTCTCAAGGACACCTGAGATGCTTTCGAACAGTTCCTGTTGTCTGGCCTCCGTGTTGCACATGTAAATTCGTCCAACAAGGGGCTCTTCCAAGTTGATCTTCAAGCCTAGCACCTTGGCAATGCTATCGAAAGGGTGTTCTTTGTCGTTCGACGTAGTCCACCCAAGCAACTTGAACAGCAGGCTGACACACGAGTCGCAGAGCTTGGCAAGAGGATCTATTTCGGCCGATACAAAATCGTCGAAGTCTACACTGATGTGTATCCACATCAGGCATACAAGAATTTTCCAAAGACTCAACGAAACTCTGCAAAATCCATGAACGCTATGGCGCGAGCCAAAAGGCGGAACAACCTCGGACCAGGCAGGTCCGGGTCGCAAACACTCAAAACCAAACCCTAAAAGCCTTAGACCAAACCCTAAACCGAACCCCAAAGCAAACCCTACACCAAACCCTAAACCAAACCCTAAACCAAACCTTGAACTAAACCCTAAACCCAACCCTAAACTAAACCCGAAACTCGACTCTAAACCCAACCCTAAACTGAACCTAAACCAAAACCTAAACCAAACCCTAAAATAAACCCTAAACCAAACCCTCAACTAAACCCCCAACTAAACCTTAAAAGCCCTAAATTAAACCTTAAACTCAACACCCAACCTTAA